GCCGGCGCCGGTACCGCGAACGCTCGACAACAGGACTGTTGCCGCACCGCGCGTTTTGTATGAAAAAAAAAGGATCATCCGTACGCTGTACGACAAACGCACCGCTTCGGCACTGCAGCAGGCCGTCAAGAAACACATAAATTGAAAGCGCCCTAAAACCATGGAACGTTCTACTTTTTTTTACTTCATAATACCACACATCGAGCAGTGAAAATTGTGGCTGAGTAAGCGCGGAAGGGCTTTAAAAAGCGCAGGAGTGTTATTATGAAAATTAAAAACACTGAAATAGGTGTGATAATGTTTTTTTTTATTTCCAACACCCATGGTGTAGATAAAAATATAAATATAAGTATGAGGATGTAATGTTACTATCCCTACAAATAGCGAGCGGATACGAAGTGAAACACCGTAGAAGAAATACAATTCGTATACTGATAATAATTAACGAGATATTAACAATAATTGTATTGGAAAAGACGGAAGGACGAGTGACGTGGAGTTGTGTGCGAGGTGATTCGTAGCACACTGCGCTGCCGGCCAAGCGACTGGGAGCAGGTTCCAGACCGGTCCGCGTCTCCCGCATACCGCGCCCCGCGACATACGCGTTCGTGACGTAGCCGCTGTTAGTGATGAGGGCACGACGACGCGTAGTGATGTGCCACACCACCCCCCTGGGAGAATCAAAACCCTGCGGAAAAATAATGAGGGAATTTAACATGTCGCCCCGAACGAGTAGTTTTGACAGGTTCGGGCTCAGGGCGATTTGCAGGATTAGTTGGTGGTGCATTCTTCGCTTCCGTCAGAACGAATGCTGGTTTGGTTCTGTCTATTGAAACGGTAACCGGTCCTCTATTCAATTCAACAGTTACTGTTTTCTCTGTCCGTTTCAAAACTTTATGAGGACCACTATATGGAGCTTCCAAAGAACCACGTAAAGCATCCTTTCTGAGGAATACGTACTGTGCTGTTGGTAAGTCTTGGTGGACAAAAATGGCTTCAAGCGTGACATGTGAATGCGCAGATTAGACACAAAGTCTGATGGCTGAGGTAACTGGGAGTTATTAGAATGGAGGAACTCACCAGGAATCCGAAGAGGCTCACCATATACCATCTCAGCAACAGAGCATTGCATGTCGGACTTCCAAGCAGTACGCACTCCAAGGAGTACTGTAGGCAGCACGTCTGTCCATCGTGTAGTCTCGTGGGCCATTATCGCAGCTTTCAACGTCCGGTGGAAACGCTCCACCATTCCGTTCGCCTCTGGGTGGTAAGCTGTTGTATGACGTAGTCGAATTCCGCAAAGATCTGTCAAAGATTTGAATAAATGCGAATTAAATTGACGTCCTTGGTCAGTTGTCACAGTTTCCGGACACCCAAAGCGTGTTACCCAAGCATCATAGAAAGCTTTACCTACGGATTCAGCTGTAATATTAACAAGTGGTATGACTTCTGGCCATCTGGTAAACCTATCCACAGCCGTAAGACAGTATCTAAAGTCATTGGACGGTGGGAGTGGACCTATTAAGTCAATGTGTATGTGACTAAATCGGTGGGCAGTTAATGGAAAGTCAGCTGTGGGAGAAGAGGTATGTCTCTGTACCTTAGATCTCTGGCATGATATGCAACTTCTTACCCAATCACGACAGTCTTTTTTCACAGACGACCAAACAAATCGGTCGGTGATGAGTTTTGTAGTGGGCTGAACTCCGGGATGGCTCATGTTGTGAGCATTGTCAAAAATAGAACGGCGCAGCTCCTTCGGAATGTATGGACGGGGTCTTGATTGAGAAACGTCACAGTAAAGGGTAATATCCGTACCTGGTACTGGAACTTTCTGAAGTTTCAAGGAAGAAGAATTATTTTCCAATAGCTCACGAATTTCTGGATCGTTATGCTGCTTCTGTGCTATCGTTTCAAAATCAGGAGGGATAGATATAACCTCTACACGAGACAATGCATCAGCAGTTATATTTTCTTTGCCCAAAATGTGCTTAATGTCGGTGGTAAATTGGGAAATAAAATCCAAATAATTGAACTGCCTTGGGGAACATTTCCGATCTTTTTGCAGAAAAGCATAAGTAATAGGCTTGTGGTCTGTAAAAATTGTAAAGTAACGGCCTTCTACTAAATAGCGAAAATGCTTTACGCTCTCATATATTGCAAGCAATTCACGGTCATAAGCACTGTACTGCTGCTGAGCTCTGTTTAACTTTTTTGAAAAGAAAGCTAACGGTTGCCAACTACCTTCTACTAGCTGTTGTACTACCGCGCCTAGTGCTACGTTAGAAGCGTCCGTTACAAGCGCAAGCGGTGCGTTATGCAAAGGATGTGCTAAAAGAGCTGACCTGGAGAGACTTGCCTTACACGTCTCAAATGCAGACAGCTGTTCTGGTGTCCAGGTCAACGGTTGAGAACTCTTGTTCTTTCCTCCAGCCAACATATTGTGTAGCGGTGCCTGATCTTCCGCAGCATGAGGAATAAAACGCCTATAAAAATTTAGCATTCCTAAGAAACGCAACAGGCCTCCCACAGTCTTGGGTGGGGGAAATTCCTGGATAGCTGCTACTTTCTCCTCCGTAGGCTTTGTACCCGATGCAGAGATAGAGTAACCAAGAAATGTTACCTTAGTTTGGCCAAAACTGCACTTAGCTTCGTTGACGAGGATCCCATATTCTTGTAGGCGGCTAAATACCTTCTCCAGGTGTTCCAGGTGCTCGGAATTATTTCTGGAAAATAGAATTATATCGTCTAAATACGAAAAGCAACAATCTAGATCTCGAAGAACCTCATCAATAAACCGTTGGAACGTTTGAGCTGCGTTCCTCAAACCAAACGACATAAACGGAAACTCGAACATTCCAAAGGGGGTAGTTATAGCCGTTTTGGGTATGTCGTCCTTGAAAACTGGTATGTGATGATAAGCTTTCACTAGGTCTATTTTTGAAAATATTGTGCAGCCAGCTAACCGATGTGAGTAATCCTGGATGTGAGGTATGGGATACCTATCTGGAATCGTTCTGGCATTGAGAGCTCGGTAATCGCCACATGGTCTCCAGCTGTCTCCCTTCTTGGGTACTAAATGAAGAGCTGAAGCCCAGGGTGAGTCAGAACGTCGAGCTGTACCATCTCGAAGCATCTCCTCAAATTGTTCCTTGGCTATTTTCAAGCGATCTGGCGCCAAACGTCGAGGCCTGCAATAAACTGGGGGTCCAGGCGTAGTGCGAATATAGTGCACCGTATTATGCTTGACTTCGCGAAATACACCTGGTGGCTTTGTCAGCGATGGGAATCTAGCTAATAAAGTGTGGTACTCACTTTTACCCGCGATCGCCTTGATACTATGCAGCTGACAGGGTTTACTCGTAACAGCCGTTGAGAGGGTAGTTAGACTATCTAATAAACGACCATTCTTACAATCGACCAGCAATCCATAATGAGCGATGAAGTCCGCCCCTATGATAGGCTTGTCCACATCAGCTACTACGAAATTCCACGAAAAGTCGCGGCGAAGTCCCAGGTTAAGACGCATCTTCATCAATCCGTAAGTACGGATGCTGGAACCGTTGGCTGCTGTGAGGCTGTAATCAGTAGGTGTTACATATGCACGTAAAAATGTACGAGGCAAAACACAAAGATCGGAGCCAGTGTCGATTAAATATTGAATTTTGCTTTCTTTGTCAGTAACAAATGGGCGACGGGTAGTTGCATGACAGTCGGCTGTCGCCATTACTGACCGTCTCGCGAGTTTTCCTTATAATTGCAAGGATGGATACATTTACTAGCCTTCTCAGCAAATTTGTAATGGTACCAACACATACCCGACTTCCTAATCTGACCTGGTCCGGCGCTTCTAGATCTACTCCTTGACCTTGACCTACTAGACCGCCTCCGGAACGACTGACGACCATGCCCTGTATCTATATTCAATTGGGACAACTGGTGGCTTAACTCTGTCTTAATGCGTGACGAAATCATCTCCTCTAACCGTTGAAACATTCCTTCCATACTATTCGATGAAGTACTAGCAACTTGATTGGGGGTAGGAACAACGTCATAAATTTGATCAGCAAGAACGGCAACCTCATCGAGACAAGTAGCTTTTTGTGACGCAATAATAACTTGAATATGCGTTGGAAGGCGACCTGACCACAAGCTGCGTAAAAAATCGTCACTAACACCATCCCCTGCTAAAGCTCTAAGGTGGCGCAAAAATTGCGACGGCTTGCGATCACCTAACTCCTCATGAGTAAGCAATTGACGCATTCGATGTTCCCGGGAAACCGAAAGACGACTAATAAGTTCCTGTTTTAATTTCTCGTACTTGCCGGTCGACGGTGGGTTTGTAATTATGTCCCGAACCTCCCGTGCGCTACGTTGATCTAACTCACGAATCACTTGAAAAAATTTCGTACTATCACCTTTTATTCCCGTGCACGCGAACTGAGCTTCAACCTGCGCAAACCAAATTTCGGGATCTTCCGGCCAAAATGCGGCCAAACGTAAAGTAACTCGGTCCACCGCACTAGTATCTTCACCGCTCGCGTCCTTAAATTCTTGCGCGACGTCATCGCTATCGCTACGAGGCGGATTCATTATAACAACGCAGGCAAAATAACACGACGCGCAGAAAAATCAAAAGATTAAAAGCGTATTGAATTGGAGTCACCACTGAGGATGTAATGTTACTATCCCTAAAAATAGCGAGCGGATACGAAGTGAAACACCGTAGAAGAAATACAATTCGTATACTGATAATAATTAACGAGATATTAACAATAATTGTATTGGAAAAGACGGAAGGACGAGTGACGTGGAGTTGTGTGCGAGGTGATTCGTAGCACACTGCGCTGCCGGCCAAGCGACTGGGAGCAGGTTCCAGACCGGTCCGCGTCTCCGACATACGCGTTCGTGACGTAGCCGCTGTTAGTGATGAGGGCACGACGACGCGTAGTGATGTGCCACAAGTATACTGTTTAACGTTTCCCCTGTATGTTTTCCAGCACATGGTGGGCACGGGTATGGCGAACCCGTTCCCTGCGGCGGCGGCGGCTGCGGCCGCAGCAGCACAGTTCGCGGCCAACGGGGACGCGCTCGCGGCCGTGAAGGCGGAGGGCGGGCCCGCAGCGCCACCGCAGCCCCCGCTGGTGAAGAGCGAGGGGCCGCCCCCGCCGGCACCTCTCCCGCCGGCCAACTTCTCACCACAACCACCGCCACAGCCCCACGCACCAAACTCCATAGAAAATCAAAACAGTAGCTCAGTAAGTTTTCAATTACCTTTAGTTCATATTTATAGTGCCAGTCAAACTTTATGGCAGTTGCGGAGTGCAACTATGCGGTTTCAGTTCTGTAAAACCCCGCGCGCACCTAGTTTTTGTTTGCTGCGCCGCGGCTTGCACTAACTTTACAGCCGTAATGGGTTTGAATCACATTATACCCTCCAAACTCCAAACTGATGTGGAATGTGGATTAAAGTCTCTGGATAGTTTCATTCATGTCGCTACACTTGGTAGGTGGTGCTGTATTCGGGATTTAGATTTTTTTTAGGATAACGTCTTTCGGGTCCGTTAGTTATAAAAGTAAGCTTGTTCAAATTCAAAGAACAGAAATGTAAATGAAAGGAAACGTAATGTGTGTAAGTAACGTGCGATTTGGCGCTCGTTTAATTTTTTACTGCCTACTCGGAAACGAAGCTCGAAATTATGTATTTATTCCCAATATGTTGACATTTTTGCCATGTTTCTAAGTATATTTAAAAAGTCCTAGTGACACGAGGTATCCATTAACCAATGTCGCTAATAATATGTCTTTAATAGTGAAATTAATGCCAAACTATATTTGACAATCCCGCAAAGAATGTGGCACAACATTATGTAAGACAATACCTACGCATATATATTAAGATTTTTCTATAAGAGCACTAGGAGCGTTCTTGATTAGAGCACTAAGCTTTTGATAAAACTGATAATCTTTTAGGTTTGCTTATTTATTTAAAAGTAAGGAAAGTAAATAATCAAGTGGTTTTCACGAGGGTACCTAAGTTTTTTCAAGTATCAGTATGGTGAAATTTTCGAAAAAAGACAATTTAAGCGATTTTGTTTTGAGAGCGTAAAAATGGCACTAAGTGTTTACTCACTACTCACGAGGGTTCGTCAAAACAATTTGATTAATTTCCTTTACTATTAAATAAATAGGAAAAACCGAAATAGGGTCAGAAATACGTTTTATAGACAAGAGCCTAAGATTTCACTTAAAAAATTCTGGTTTTCCTACAGGAATATTAGTCAAGTAACGTTGTTTAAACATCAAATAAGATTTCTTTTTTATAAACAATTACGAAACATCTACATTTGCATCAAATTGCTATCTATTATTATCAGCAGTCTCCGGGACGGAAATTAAAATCTGTTGAATAGCTTGACACCTATTTAGTACAACCATTTTTTTTGTCAGAAGTAATAAATACCTACGAATATTTTTAGAACGAAGTTCCTTTCCGGGCGGTTTGACGAATGGGGGCTAGACGAAAAAAATGTAGGTATGATTTTTCCGTCACAACCTAGTGAGGCAGCGGCTGGGTAGGGTAGCTAGATGGGCGACCGATGACTGCGGTGGCTGTGGATTTAGTTTAAAGTTTTGTTAATTTTTTTGACGGAATCGGGGGAATGGGTTTTAGGATACTGTTTTGTGAAATAGGGAGATTGGGCCATCTCTCGCCACGCGGGCCCAGTGCAGATTGGTGGGTATAGATATTTTTACCTTCGTTCCTACCGAGTGTTACACAACACTCATGCATTTTTTATTATACAGAAGAAAATACGATAAAACATCCTTGCTTGATATTACTTTTAAGTCAAAGTTCATTTTAGCAATCAATATACATAGCTATTTAAGTGGTTTATTAAATATTGTTGCCTGAGATGTACATTCTATTTTCCCAACTTCCCAAGAATCTTATTAAACAAGTTGCTGGTTTTTATGGATCAGATAGTTATTTTCTTTATATCCCTTTACTAACTGGGGATAAGCCACTTGCCAGTTCTATACCTATTTACATGAGGTATAAAGTTCTTACCAGACCTGCGAAATCGAGTAAAACAAAGATAACAAACAATGTGCGCATCATAACATTGCGTGTTTGGAGGTAGCATTCTTCGTAAAAAATGAAATTAAGCGAAACTTCTTTGCATTCTAATAACTACTTTTTCTGGAAATAATTTTACTTGGTTAAAATATCGATTAGCTTAAAAGGATGTATTAAAGATTAAGAAACATTCCCTGCTCACAAAGACTGTCAGTCCGTGCCCTCGGATATCAATCAATCATACCAATATTTCGGTGTTTTAAATCTAAGAATAAGGTTTCCCGAGGTTTCAAGTTATTTACGTTGTACATTGGTTTATATAGCTTCCGGTTGGGTATCCACAGCAAAGTGAAGGGGAGTCTAACGAAGAGAACACACCGGTGAGCGTATCTGCGGCAGTCGCGGCGCAGCAAGCTGCAGCTGTTGTGGCACAGCAAGCCGCAGCGGCGCACGCGGCTGCCGCCGCCGTCAGTGCCGCCGTCGCCGCCGGTGCTAACGGCACCGCGGAGAAAACACTAGTGCCAGTCTCCCAAGCATCACAACCCAAGCGGTTACACGTCTCCAACATACCCTTCCGATTTAGAGATCCTGATCTCAGGAACATGTTCGGGGTACGTATGTTTTGAGCTTCTTTCTTTCTTCCTCACAATACACGCACGGCATGTACGAATCGATGTTGTTTTAGACAATTAGCCGGATCAAAATTTATATATTGACGTTTTACATTTCAGCAATATGGCACAATACTTGATGTAGAAATTATCTTCAACGAACGAGGCTCCAAGGTAAGTTTAATGATGATTCCGTTCAAGAATCGAGTGGCTCCCTGAAATCCAATGCGAGATTTCATTGTGGCTACTTTCGGAATATCTTTTAAGTTGCTAAGTGAATTATTAAACGAAGTAATAAATTATTTCCTCATACCCTTAAATTTGAAAATTTCTGGTTTAGAAAGAGATTAACTAAAATTTGATGTTTTTTTTTTTATTTTATTACTTCGTATTATTTAAGAAATTCTCTTAAACGGAGATAATTTAAATATTCTACACATCAAAATGTTTATTTTATGCGAGTAGATTATAAAGTTATACTTACAATCTTAAATTTTATTTAAATTATTTCCAACAAACTATTGAATATAACACCATTAGCTATTGCTACTTTTATAAAAAGTTTATCTATTTATATTATTGTCATTTGATTTACAGTGCATTTTTATTCATGCTATGATTGCTACGTTTATATTACCATACTATGGCAGAATACTAAAAATTCACTGAATTTTTGAGGAGCTTCCTAACTCTGAATAATGTTGTCTGAACAGTAAATATCTTACTCGAACTCGAAACAATTAAATAATTTAGCACTTTGGTGAATATTGCGTTATAATACGTGAGAGGCAAGACACATTGAATTCTACTCAATAATCACCAAAAAATTAAGTCCATCACACTACTTAGTCGACCCTACTCAAAGTTAAGCATCTCTCAAACATTGAGTGACGTTTCAATATTCGCTCCATAAAAAATTATACATTTCGCTGTGAATGAGTTATGCAATAGCTAGGAAGTTATATTATTTACGATGAAAATTTAGTAATTGCTGCCCAAACTAAACATTTTCTGAAGATTCCCCCACTACCTCATACTTATAAGAGTTATGTTTCTCTTATCATGTGTTTTTATAATTACATTCATTATCTGGCCTAACAAATCTTAAGGCGAACGGGCTTAGTTACAGTAATAAATTAATAATCGTTATTTCGACTTTCTTTTCACCTAGCGTATATTTGGTATTAATGTTTGGTGCAGTATATCTAATTGCATTGTATATTACCATTGAATAATAAATAATTTAAGTCTATTATTCTGATTTATATTTATCTGTCTTATACCTATGACATACTTTTTAGATAGTGACCGAGATGCTTCTGTGTTCAATTAATAAAATTTATATACATGTTTGACGCAAAAAGTAAGTCATTGGTGATAATATCTGTTAATAGCAACATTAATAAACATAAACTTTATACTCAAAAAACAACTCACTGTAAATTACAAGTTCCCATAAGACTGAAGTAAAACAGAGATCAATTATCGAACCACTTTTTTATAATTGATTGGATTGAACGCTTTTTCGTGTTTACTGCTTTCCTTGTGTCAGTTTGTTGACCGCCCCTGAAGTAGTCCATGCTCGCTCATGTCAACAAATATTTTACTCTTTTGGAATAATAGCTCCGAATTATTTTTTCTTCAATGCCTCACATTGGGATATGCAGTATTAGAGAATGATGCATCGTCACTATAACAACTGATTTCCTAAGTCATATTTCAGGACAGCTCTATTATTCAGAAATAATAATATTTATGTAATCGTCCAAACTACTCTAAGCACCTATAGAACGTGTTATCTCTTAATTTCATTTCAAGACCTACGACCGCAGTTTGATGCATCTGGCATACCTGAATTAATACCACGTCAAGTTCTGTGTACATATGTAGTTTGGATGACGAGTCATTCTGAAGTATTTGTTTAATTAGTTAGCCTCTTAATCGACTTCGGTACTTCTCTCTACTTTATAATAATTTATTAAAAAGAGTTTCTTCAGTCATACGCTTCCTAACAAGGGAATTAATTATATAATTTACATTAGTTTTGAGCATGTACATTTCGCAGACCTAAACAATGTGTTAATAAGTTTAATAAAGATTGTAAATTTGTTTATCTAGAAGTTACTGGTGCATCATTTAGTTTGGCTTTACCTCGAATGTCACTTGTCTTCCTCGTCGGCTAGAGATATCGTGTCCGTTGTCGACAGAGGCCGGTAGCGCGCGCCCGACGCCTAGGGCCGCGGACACGCGCTAACCCGCCTTTTTATTAATATTCTCTCTTGAACTCTCTCTCTCTTTCTCTCTGCCCAGATCATTGTTAATCTAATAAATACATGCACTCAGAATGGTAATAATAGAGCTGTCATTGCTTTTATAAATGTAAGCGTTTCGTACAATCAGCGACTTGTTTGCCACTTTCACAACTCGTCTCTTCCACTATAATGTGTGCTGTGCTAGCTGCTTTTTGTATCTATGGGTTATCACCATGTATTGACAGTAGTTAATTTGTCTTAGCACGACCGATTGAAACAAGTGATTTTTAATGAATATTATTATTATCATGTGTTTTGATTTGAATGCAGTTTAACGTCCATTAAAATACTGACTTTTATTTATAACTCATACGATTAATCGTGATAAATATATGGCGTACTCCGAGATATTGGATCTGTATTAAACTTAGATTTTTTGGCACTGTACAGTTTATGCACATGTTTAATTATTAAAGTATTCAGTAGGTACCCGTTAGTGTGTCAATGAGTCTAGTACGTACCTTGTAAATGTATTAGACTGTTGGTTGTTGAATGGCAAACCTTAGTTTTATTAAATTGTCTGTTGACATTGTCATCATTTGCAACGTGAATTCTGTGTTTCTTCCTCCATGTAACACATGTATACTCCAACTTCTCGACAACGAAAGTTCTGTTACTCCAACTAGTCTCATTAGTGATTTGATGCATGACGGTGATTTTTCTGTATAGAACAAACTGCAGCTAACATTCCACACAATGTTTATTTGTCATTTCGATTCAAGTAGAGTCTATCGAATGAGCTTCGATGAGAGTTCTCAATCCTGATATACACAGCGATACGAACTGTCTGTCCTATTACAAAAATATAGTACAGACTACCAGGTCGAGCGACAACTATATCGATTTATTGTAATCCAAACGCTTATGTGTACCCATTCAACTAGAATACGCTCAAAGTTTCAACGTAATCGAATCAATGATATCCTCTCAATATATATCACTAGAATAATTTAAATTTACAATAAATAAATAAAAAGAATATGCAATGCATAAATGTTAATTTTTGTTGCACGTTGTTTTTTGAGCGACGCTGTTTTTAATGCATGTTTTGTCTGTCTTGCATGCAGGGATTCGGTTTTGTAACATTCGCAAATAGTGGTGATGCGGAGCGAGCACGAGAGCGTCTTCACGGCACCGTGGTTGAGGGCAGAAAGATAGAGGTGTGCATGACTCAATGAATACCATCCGTAGCACTATGTAACTTTAACATCCCGCTCCTACGCCACGCCCACCGCAACCTGCGCTCGTCTGCTCTGTAGTTACTGTCATGCTATAGCGTGCGCCCGCGCAGACTCCGCGCCGATACGCGCGTTACCACTAAGTATGCCGACGATTAATACCACAAAACAAACCTTATTTTTTATCCCTTTACTCTCTAGACGGTCATTTAATATGCCGATCGAATGAGAGAGTCTCACAGAGAAATGTAGAAAGAACCGTTGCGTCACATTGCCGCTGAGGTAAGATTGCAAATGCAATTTTTAAGTTCCATATTACACACCTATCTTTTTTATATATCCTGATTTTATTGGTACTTTTTCTTTTTTTGATATTATTATCACTAACAGTAAGTTTTATATTAGTTTTCTGTGAAAGACTTCACTGCAGACTTCCGTAAATACAACATCCCCGAAACTACGTGTTAATCTCATTTTACCCTATCCTCTTTGTTTTTATTTTAGTGTCAAATGTCTTCTCAGTTTTGTCTAATAACTTTCTGAATTAAGGACTATTTCTATATAAAAAAATATATTGTTATATTTGATAGTATTTTCACGAGTTCACGATGCTCATTTGAGACATTTGACACGAACTTGGCTGACTTTACAACATTACAGCTTTCCTATTAATTTATTTTTCTGTTATGTTAATTTATATGTATAATATAAATGTTGTGTTGGGTTCGAATCCCATATTGTATGAATTGTATTGTACTAAGTTCAAGATATAAAAGCAATTGGTATTTATAGAAATAAAAAATTATACTTAATTAAAAAAAAGCTTATTTTTTTTTGCTTTAATCTATGATTGTTTTCATTTCAAAGTCAGCCAAAAATATTATTTCTCTTTAATATTAAAGTTCCGTTTTTGACATGTTGTTTACTGTCAAATCAGGTTAATAATGCAACAGCGAGAGTGCAGACCAAGAAACCACCCACAGTTCCAAACGGTAAGTTTTCCACGAGATAACGCTCAAGTACCTAATTGATTACTATTCCCAAATGATTATTACTACCCACTTTTGTCATATTCCGAATGTGTTACACAAAATTCTCCCTTACACTCGTTAAAAATGCTTATCTGTAACCACAGTCGTAGAGTTCACAGTGCCGTGGCAATCGCCAACTAACACTATATAACCTAACACTGTTGTTGTAAGTGATAATGCATCTTGCATTTTTTTTCTTTTCTTTTCACCCATCCAGTTATACTGGCTAGAAGTGGATCAGTTTCCACTTTGGGTGAGACAGAGCTGGATTAATAAAGTTCGTTGTTGTTCAAGTCAATGTAACCTTACATGTCGGCTAGATCCGTTGTCTGATTGCAACTAGGTGAATGCTATTTAGAGAATGAGTCCACTGTCAACAGCCGGAGACAGTCTGCGCCTGAGCACGTGACGTATAAGTACGAGTATATACGCCGTTACGCGATGCACTCGATATCACATTACGCTCTTAACGACCTCTTTTGGTAACTCTCAGTACCAGCCATCCTATTTCCCATTTACATTCATGTTAGCAGATCACATGTTGGGCTGTCTCCGGCAAACCACTGTCTGCCTGGCGACCTCTCACTGTCTGAACGGATAACACTATTAGAAGGCTTGCTAGTTCAATATTATTTACACCTTCTTGGAGCTATATACAACGTAATATGTTTATTATTATCTTGACGAATGCTGGAATGGATGTACCTTCGGTATTGCACTCTCAATTTCGATTCTGTAGTTGAGAATGTCTGTTAGGTTTGTTTTTTTGTGGTTAGATCTTTTAGATTGTTTACACCGGACTCAGATTTCCTCTTTTTGACTTGTTTCCTTTTATTTTGTTTCAGTGTGCGTCCAATGGCCAGAAGGTAAGGCGACGAGTACAATGTTTTTTTTTGTATAAATAATTTATGATTTAAGACAGAAATGCTTACGTATTTACATTACTATAACATCCATACGAGCATGTTTTCTTTACTTAATGTGGTGGGACTATGCGGTTGTTTAGTTATTTATTTATATACTGCTCGATGAGATCGCAATTGAACTTAAAGCATTTGTAAATTTTTCCTGACGACCATGCTTCCTTAGAGCGAACGATATTGCAAAGCTTATGAATATTCACCCCACCGATTAACTGCAAATTGATATACTTTCCAGTTTTGATTAAAATTATGTTTTCAAATCTGCTCGGAAGCTGTAAAGCGGCATGGTCGACATTTTCCATTATAATTTTAATTGTGAATAATATTGGTCAATTTGAGCATCCGTTATTATGGAACGCATTCTGCTAGTGCATAATAGTGATAGTAACATAGTAATCGTTTAATCGTGATTAACGGACGAGTGGTCTGGCACTCGCTTTTGTACTAAAACGCAGATATGTGAGAGCTACATTTTCTGCCAATGACTGTCGAGGCTTAAAGGCAATTTCGAAGCGGCTCTACAGCCAAACAGGCGAAAAGTACTTGTACCATGTTAACTGCTGAGAATGTAAGCCGTACATTTAGCGTCCGAGTCTTTTATCGACTCGTACGCAGCCTCGGTTCGCGTCCCCGCCACCCGCACGCCCTCTATAACTACTATAGTACCTGCAATAGGTCTGCAAGTTTGTGTGACTGGTAGTATTAGCGAAGCTGCGTGCACACTACAAGCTATTTATTTTTTATTTGCTGCGATAGATGAATATTATATAGGTAATTACAAAGTATTAGATAAAATCACCTATCGTTATTTAATTTTGTATCAAAGCGATATCTACTAAATCCTTAGCTACTTTTAATACAATCTACGAAAATAGTATTGTTCTCTGAAGTAAGTAACTAGTGTTTACAATTACATCCACAATGAAAACATAAAAACCTACCTACTAACTCTATACTGTGTTATGTATAAATAACGTTAATTGTTAAGTTGATGAAAGGAAAACGTGTTGTTATTAGACAAAAACAGAAGCGAAGCCGATGATACTTCACTCTGCAGTCGCGTTGTCGGTAAACTGTTAAACATCAAAGGATTTTATCCCGCTGGACTTCGATTGCCCATTAAATACAGTTGACACTCGGACATCGAGCGTAGTGAAAATGTGAAGGTGTACACTAGTTAGTACAATGATAGTGGTATGAATTAGTATACATTTGTAGGTAATAAAAAAATACGAGGCAATTTAAAACAAATAATTAGATAGGGGGCTTAGGTACTTAAGTTGGCCCTCATGCATCACTACATAGTATAAAACAAAGTCGCTTTCTCTGTCCCTATGTCCCTTTGTATGCTTAAATCTTTGAAACTACGCAACGGATTTTGATGCGGTTTTTTTTAATAGATAGAGTGATTCAAGAGGAAGGTTTATATGTATAATACATGCATAATATAGTAGAGAAACACTGATAATTTTAGAGGTTTTTAATGTAAGGTCGTAAATAAACACACACACACCCCACGAGATAGATCAAAATAATGTACTACAGTATTGTACACCTTAAAAAGGTCTACAAAAAAGTCCGCGATGGTATATGTCTATCTCTTAAGGATAACCCACAATAATCAATTTTTATCCTATACTTTTTACGAGAAATAATAGATTATTTACAAAGCGATTTTAAGCAATATAACATTCATCCTTATCCAATTAAGTACCTTAAATACATTGTGCATTTAATATAGAACAATTTGGCCCTTTAACGCATATAATTTAAATGAATATTTTCGAAGATATTACAAATTTAAAATTCAGGGACATAGCGGTTCCGACGCTACCGGGCTTGGCGGCGCGTGCCTATTGTTATTGGGTATTAGAAGAATGTCATTGTGTATAGCCTGAGAACAAAAACTATAGTCTACACTACAGCTTTACACCGAAGCGAAGCGAGGGCGGGCCACTAGTTTACAATAAAATAAAAAGATATCTGTAAATAAAAACTGAACTTGATACCTTTTTGTTATTCCTTGATGGCAATCTGAAATTTTAAGTAAAAAATTTTGTTCTAAAATGGCAAGTTTTGAAAAAAAAAAAACAAAGTTTGATTGTCGCCGGTTCGCACATAAGGAAAGCCATTAAGGAATAAGTGTTCTTAAACACGATTTTTAATAACTTAATTGTTTAACTTTATTGAAATAATTAATAAAATATAACTACTGCATAGATTAAGATTGGAGTTTAGCAGAGTTTAACCTAAAATTCAACAAAAAACCACGTTTTGGTTTGTCATTCTTTGCTATGCCAATCATTATACATTTGAAACCTTTTCTGTTGATTTTAAAATATTTTATTCCATATTAATATTAAGCATTTTAAAGTCGTTTTCGACGTTCGTTGTCAATTTGATCTCGTTAACTGATAATTAGCAAGGCAAAACCTTCAGGCACGCGTGTAGATACGACTGATTGATACGCTACGGTATTCAGCTACGAAATATTTTTGCTGATGCAACAAACTGTCGCTACAGAGATCGTCGACATTTAAAAGGGTTAATTTAAAGCTAGATGATAGGTGAGTTAGGGTAGTGTGCACGCTGCTTGCACGAGAGTTGAGGGCACGCGGTGTGTGTGCAGGGCTGCGGGTGTCCGGCGTGACGTGGCCGTGGCTCGGCGCCGCCCCGGCGGCCGCGCCCGCGCCCCCGCTCGTGCTGGCGCCGCGCGCAGCCCAGCGACGCAGGTAACGCATGCCCGCTAGACTAGTCCGTGCCATGTGTGTGTTGCATGCAGCGGCACTGCGCGCCCGCCCCGCCACCGCCCGCGCCGCACCGCCCCCGCCCCACTCCCTCGCGCAGGCGGCCGCGCTGTTGCCGCGCGCCACCGCCGCCTACCACGCCCAGTTGCACGCGTACGCACCGTGAGTAACTTGCACCGACACCGACCAACCATCACACCACCCGCACTAGATTGCGACAAGAAGCTTTGTGAATTTGCCAAAAATTGCAATTAACGCTGCCATCTGTGTAGTGGCCAATCGCAGCCGCGCGTTATCATTCGCTTGTGACTGACGCGCACGCCTGATGCGACAATAGTCGTCAGTCGTCCGGCACCATACCACTGATTTTCATACACTGACTAACCCATCAGCCGCGCGCGTCAGTTGCACGCAATCGATCGCGCGGGGCTGCGATCGGCCGCGATGCACGGAAGTCTACCTTAAACGTCATATTTTGAATGTAATTTGCGTAGACAGCAGCGTTCTTTCTAAACTCTCTCACTGAAATTCATAAAGATCCTTATCGCACTATAGATACCGAATTATGGTCGTAGCAGACATACCAACTCGAAAAGGGAACGTCGCTGTATCAACTCGAGCCGTTCAGTATTCTTTGTATGAAACTCCCTGCAACGCACACTAATAGGAATCATAACCAATTCTAACGTATTGGAGCAAGCCAAAAGGCAATTCGGTTTAGATCCCTTTCCGGGTTGATATCGGTGTTATGATGCTTACTCAATTATTGTTTGAAATCGAAAACGCCAAAGTTTAGGCACCTGAAATCACTCGCGCACGCCCAATTGCTCACACGTGAGCACCGTGGGTAACACCCAACGACACTAACCAACCAAGCACCACAGGTCACCGCCACTACTCAAACGCCAAAGTTTTGTCGTTTTGGAATCCTTTCTTTCCCCTCTCGCGCCGCGCCGCCTTCTCCCCACAAGACGCCCAGTTACACTGCAAAAAGTTTTAAGTTACTTATAACAAAAAAAATTTTTACCTATTACATAAAAATAGTAACTGCATAACTAAATTTACTAGTAGAGAAACTAGGTTTGGTTAAAATAGTGTTGTTGTTATAACAAAACAGTTATGTAAAATTACAAAATAGTATTGTAATTGATAACAAAATTATTGCTTTAGTATAACATCATTATAATGTTATTTGTAACCGAACTATTTAGTTATCTGCAACATAATTTTCTGATGAATTGTAGCTGTATATTATTATCTTACTTGCAGAAGTACTTTTCTGCTTTAAAAACCTGTACGTACTACTTACTGATAAGTAAGTGCTGGGGGTTAACAGGGGATTGGTGTACAAATACAAGTTTTATAAACTTACTTAATAACTTAACTTATAGATGCAGTTAGGGCAACTCTATGTAAATAATTATAATTAATAAGTGTGTTTTATTATAACAATACATTGCTATGTTACAGATTACTAAAATCGAGTTTGAAGGCTTATAACAAAATGGTTTCGTAGTTTTTAAGTAAACTCGATTAACTGAAATGATAATGCGTAAAATACAACAGAACAGTTGGTCTATGAGTGACTGAAATTTATTTATTAGTAAACAAAGTTCGGCTATTCATCGGTTAACTCAACTGGTTTAGTAAATTATATTTTTCAGTATACACGCATACGTACCGTGAGCAATAAATACTGCATAAGCGTATGACACGTCCCAAAAAGCTCTCTTGCTGAGTTACTTACCGATTCTTCCCGGTACAAAGTCCCCACAGTAGATTGCGTAGCTTTCGACTTTCACATAATATGTCACACTGATGTGTCCAATTAAACACGCGGCTTACTTCCCTCGCATGCCTGGAGTTTGACGATTTCTATTTCAAACAAAAACTGAGTAATGCAGTAAACATCTTGAACGTAAAGCAAGCAAGCAAGTAGCAATTTTAGATGTAAAAACATCTACTGTGCAAGTTGTTTGTCTATGGTTTTACTCAAGATGTTTGCTGTTATTTAATACCCACGCCCGACCAATGCTCCATCACCGACCTCCTTATTATTAGCAAGCTTTATTCTGCCATGAGTAGCTGAAAAAAGACGAACATACTGATGTAATCTAATAATGTATGAAAAAATACGTGTTTGTGAAACTTTAAAAAATATATACACTGACGAGTATTAAAATTATGAGAAAATGATATCTTAATACCGTACTCAGAGAAGTCACTTAAATTTTACACTTCATTAAGTCATGTGTAGGCAATATAATAATATGTTATTGCAAAGAAACAGAGAGACAAATAGACGAACTTCGTTTCAAACCTTTTTTGTTTTACAGGAACTCTTTACAGGCAACATTGTTTGATACCGGCCGCGACATAATATCAGAGACTGTAATTTTTACGAGGAGTAAAAGTTTAATTTTATGTGTTTAGCCATAAACACAGTGGTTGCAGACTGGATTTTAAGACCACATTGCAGGGACAAAGTAAAACGTGAATAAATAAACTACCCTGACCAACCACTTCACCAAAACGTCGATAACTGATTCCAATCTGTATGGCCTCAATCTTATAAATAAATCTTCTAATGAGTCAAAATAGAGTAACATAAATGACCTAGAACTATGTATGTATATACATGACATGATCTTTAATTTAACTTTTGTATAGTTTTTAAAGTACTATAATGTACCAGTGTTGCCAGGACCCCATAAGCAAAAGTAACACATGACTATATAAAAAAAAAAATTAGTAGAAAGTTACGCCATTATGTGCCTACCGATCTACGAATGTCCTCCTTGGGTTGATAAAAGAGAGCCAAGAGCATAAATGAAATCATTTATCATTTTCAGTTAACAGAATTTGCCTATTAGTAAATGAAAAAAAAACGCTTAAGTAACGCTTTGAGCTAGGTAACGTCACAGGACCAAAACTCAAAATGTTACAAAAGTTACGTTCTGGCAAAGCTGTAATTTACAGAAGGGAATGAATCAGGTTAACTCTTTCGTGCAAAATCATAGAATTTATAACGAAAATGTAACCCAATCCATAATATAACGATTAAACAAATATATACCTGCGTCTTAGAAGGAGTACACTAGTTAAATATAGATCTGCATGTAGTGCCAAATTTCATGAAGACTAATAAATTCTAATCAGCATACCAGGTCATTGATAAGACGCCAAAATCAATATCCAATAAATAATTCTCAAACTTCGTAAACTGGTGAGAAAATTTAAATGAATCCAAGACGGAGCGTCATAAAATTTCAGTAGGTCGTAAAACAAAAATGAAATGATGTTACGAATAAAATGAAAAGAAGAATAAAGTAGGTAATATGATTCGCCAACTTTAAGTTAATTTTTGAAGATGACATTTAGTTTTTTTTGTCTTGTATTATTGGAAAATCCAGTGATTTTTAACCGACTTCAAAAATCGAGAAGGTTCTGTGTTCGACTGTATATTTTTTTAATTGCAGAACTTGCAGAAATACTTCATTTTATAGCGGACATAACGTTAAACTTGATACTTTTTCAACATTTCGTACATAATTGCATATAACTTCAGTCGTATCAGTATGTTTATATTTTCCGTAGGAGTCATCAAATTATTGGATAAAGTGATCAAGAAACTATACTATAGTAACGATAAATACTAAGTAAATGAAAATTATTGTTAATACCTACAGGCACGGAGGCTTCTATCCCTATGCTCCCAAGTAACCATACATCCCATCCCACCTTTACAATCACATGGTATGAATTTTAATTTCTTAACTGTAGATTAACTTAAGCACAATGTAATTAGTTTGAATAGCACTGAAATAGTTTGATGTGTAACTAACATATCGTAACATTCAACGTATTTTTCGAACTCACGGTTTAGCGCTTTTAATGTCTAATAGTGCACTTAAAATAGTGAGTAGAATGTAGTAAATATTATATTAAGAGACTTTTACATGATAATTTGTAATTTAGAAGTACCTACCAACCTTTAGTGTAGCATAGTTTTTTTATAAACTGGATTGACGTTTCCAAGTGGTATAAACTTTTTTTTTTATATTTTGTCAAACTTAAGTAACTTGGATTCTGATTTTATAATTTTATGGAATTTATAATTGTAAAAATAACAACCTTAATGTAAGTAATTAATTTAGAGAGTTTTAAACCGAATCGAACGAAAATATTTTCACCGTCCTAATAATTACTACAACATTTTATGTTTTATTTCATTTCCAGTGTATATTACGACCCATTCTTAGCAGCAGCTGCGACGGCTGACTCCAATTACAGACTACAGGTAAAACTGCATGCAAACTCATAACTATCCTATAGATTACTAAATCCAATCAAATCATTAGCATAGCACTCTGACTGATTAATCCCACAGTTTTGTTCAATTAGAGTTTTCACAACTTACGTATGTGTAATTATAAACAATTTGTTAAATTACTTAATTAAAGAGGTGACGTGTATATTTTGACCTTTTGGGATTAATAAATATTTAAGCGTTCTAGTTCTACCTATTTAATTTCTTGGTTATATTACACTGAGAACTGAAAGGCTTATAAAGTCACTCAGAATGGTGGGTTAATCATCGGGTGGGTTTTCGATGAAATTGACAGTTTCTAGTAACATTTTACCGTTATACTTATTGATAAAAATGATTTAAATGGAAATAGAGGCCTCGGTGACAGTGCGTGTGTTGTTGCAGGCCGCGAAGCCCGCAGCAGAGGTAAACACTCCGCCTCTATAGCTCGCGCGCGAGCCATGTGTGATTGTAAACAGTATTTCTATCGCTTCCTGATTCATGTACCACGCTAGTATAAATTCGATTATATTTTCATCGTGGAGTGAGTGCTGGGATTTTGTTTGCTCCTTATTATTATATTCGTAATGGTCCTATTGGTTGGTAATCCACCGTAATGCAGGGTGCACTGTGTTTGTGATAACGTTAACCGATTCGGATAGCACGGCGAGGCCGCCCCGCGACCGCGCGGTTTGCTTAATGTTGAGTTCATTATCCTTGTTCGTTGGTATTGTGGTGGGTGATTTAGTTTTAGGCGTTTGCTCAAGCTATGAGTTACTCGATCAGATGCTAATTTATTATCATGCTCCGAGTAGAACATTGAGCCCACAAATTTTTAATTGCAACCTTCGAAGTTTACTAACAATCACCATGTAGATTTATAGCAACGTACATTTCGTTACTTAATTTTAGTTTGTGTCGTTTTTGACAACATTGCGATCTTCAGTTTCTCTTTTTAGTGCATGCCCATGAATCATCATCAACACATCGCAACCATATTTTTCTGCATCAAAACTTAAATCGTGTTAAATTTACAAATCATAGTTTGCTGCAGAAAATTAATGCTATCGTATGATCAGTGCGAGGAACGCTGCATGTTAATTTGTAAATATGTATTTCAACTTCACCGACTCTTTATCGTGTATTGTAATTAGTTTTCAATGCGTTACTCTTTGCATCGTCTAGCTTTTTTTTCTAGCTACACAGATAATGCGTCTTTTACCAAATAAGTATACTTCGAACGAGCTCGCATACACGGTAAGGACTTACGAAACGAATATTCTACTACAGTTTAACAAAACGAAGGGAATCATTTTGTAGAACCCGCATTTACTTATTAAATTACAACAATACGCTAGGTGCCTTTTGTGGGCTCATTGTTCGATTGGTCGGTTTTTGTTCAACGATAACAATTGTTTAGTCGTGAGCAAATTAAACTTGGTCTTAATTGGTCACAAAAACTTAATATCAAATTTATTACATGGTCCCAAAAACTAAAAAAATTTAGAAACGAATAAATTTCTGACGATTATTTCACGTCACGAGCAACATATTTTTTTTTATTCATCTAGTGTTTATTCCAATTAAAGTAAGCCATCCATATGCTCCATTATTTCAAAGTAAACAATGTATACATTTTTCGATAGATTTAATATTAGCGTTTTATTAAATTTTCAAATTTGTGAACGCAATAATATATATAAGTTAAGAGTGACTGGCGTCGAGAGCAGCCGATCTAAACTATTCTTTAATAAACAAATGGCACGTACAGCCTTCTCACGTCTACAGAGGTACCAACACCTTTGTCTGCGTTTCCCTAAGAGCTGTGCGAGTTTATTAAGGGATTTGTGAGGAAAAATCCACCGACAGGATAAAGTTTACCAAATCCATTAAATCCACCACACTTAATGAAGTTAGTTAGTTACCCAGGTAAAAGTTTGTGAATACCAAATTACTATGCTGACCTAGCTCCTAACTTACGTAGATCAGAGAAGTAGAAAAAAAGTTTTCTTTTATAAGTTCGCTGATAATTTACTGCTCTCATTAGGTAGAAAAAAAATCCTTCAGTCAGTAAATCTCCTATCTCAAGTTTAGTAATTACGGGTGTAAGAGAAGAATGCGTAATGTTAATTAAATTGTAATAATAAAATTCCTTGCCCTTTATAAAACACATTTATTTGTAAGTAGCTATTATTCAAGCTCGTATTCAGAGTACCGTCTGTTCAAAAAAAATTTGGGTATTAAACTTTAATTTTTAGCTTTTATAATTCAACAATGAAACTAAATTCTTATTTAAACAAAGACGTGTTCACGTCGTCCAGCTAGTGGCAGCTTATTGTCCTAACCACTACTTTTTGAAAGCGGTAGTTTCGGTGGGTTTAAGTTAGCGACATATTTGTCATTTTAGTTATCCTCTCACATCGCCCAGCTCTAGTGGCAACGCAGCGTCTTACCGCAACTTGGTGATTAACAGCGGTGGTTTCGGTGGTGTGCTTGCAGGCAGCAGCAGCGGCGGCGGCAGCAGCGGCACCGTTATTGAAGTCCCCGTTGACGACAGCGCAGCACGCAGCGGCTGCAGCGGCGGCAGCTAACTACGGCGCGGCCGCGCGTGCCGCAGCCGCCGCCGCGGTCAGCGCCGCACCCGCACCCACTGCACTAGCACCCCTTGCCACGTGAGTACTTATCATAGACTTATAGCTTAACATATCAGGGGTATACATACAATCAAAGTTGGTAAAGTCCACAAAATTTTAAAAGTGACTTTTTAATTAGAACACATTCATATCCGTATCTTTATTTATCCAGTAGTATAATTTCATACAAAATTCTAGAAATCTTGACTGTTATTTCAAATTGAAAATTTACTTTACAAACAAATGTAATAAAGTCCAAGTGAGTTGAGTTTCAATTTGCGTAAGGTCCTTTTCGACCAATAGGAAGGCTCCATTGCCTCCATTTCACTGACAGCTGTCATGGCCGCCTTTGATGTTGTAATGCTCTTTTGTTGTGTTACAGTAACAAACTTAGTAAAGTCCAAAACTTGGTAACAAAAGTGGGAAAGTCCATCTTGTACTTAAGGTTTACCTCAAAAGTATTGAACTGAACGTGATGTATTTCCATAATGTATTACTTTCTGCATATAAATAATGTATAACATTAGAAGAGTTACCTGTTATTATTAAAATAATCGTTTTTATCGTTTACTGAACATTTTGGCAATCTGGACTTTACCAACTTTATTGTATATCCCTCATATAACATGTCATGTTGTCACGAGTTGGTTCAAGAAGAGTACCTTACCCTCGTGGAGCCTAACTCGAGCCCCCATAAAGCTACAAAGGCGTGCTTGGGCTCAAACGAACCGAAACAATAAGCCACACATAACTGCTCCGAGGAAAACAGCGAACGACACGTAATCACGTAAAAGTATCGTCCGTTAATCGACTTGACAGACAACAATTTTTTAATTATGATTTTATAAATATGGTTATAGCTCTATCCAAAACAATAAACTGCAAAATATCCCAGGATAACATTTCAGATATTTACAGATTAAGTAACAAGAAAGGGCAATCAAACACTCCCATTATTGTGGAGACTTCCTCGGCCATATTAAAAAAGGATTTTCTCCAAAAATGTAAAGCATACAATACTAAAAATAACGATAAATTACAAGCGAAACACCCCGGACTCACTAAAAATGAGGACACGCCAATATTTCTGTCGGAACAACTTACGGCAAAGGGGTCCAGACTCTTTTTTTCGCACGAAACCTCTCCAAGAGTCGATCCTACAAATTCTGTTGGACAAGTTTTGGCAGGGTCTATGTAAGGAAGGATGACGCTTCTCCAATAATTATTATCAAGAATGAAGCACAGGTACAGCATCTCTTATTGGAAAAATGACTAGTGAACATTACTATAAATATTATTTTTATATCATTAGAAATATCTTGCCTGAATTTTCCAAGTTTTTTGGCTTGTAGAATCTATAGTAGTATAATTACACACACACCACATACACATACAATCACATCAAACCTCATTCATGCCATTAAACAATATAATTACTATCATACAACTGCTTACAGAAATTACAGCATTTTCGCCCATTTTTTACACTTAATATTATACTCATTTAATTCACATATATATCACTGCCATCTGTATCTCAATATTACTGAGTACTGTTTTTGTGCTTTAATTATATATCTCAGGAAGTTTCTCTCAGTAATAACATATAGTATCAACTACTTGGATAATGGATAATGTTTTCAATAATGTTAATGAAATAGACGATATAGATATCGCATTTGCTGTCAACTGTGATACAAATGACGTTACAAAGTATATTCAAAACACAAATTCAAATTTCACAATAGTAACACAAAATATTTAAAAAATCTACAATAATTTAGAAGACCTGCAACTTACACTTTTACAAATGAACTCAAATATTGATGTAATTATCCTGACTGAATGTCGTTTAAATATCAATAAACCAGTCCCCAATATATTAAATTACGATATGTATTCGACTACCAACCACATTAATCAAAATGATGGTGTTGTAACATATGTGAAAGGTCATTATGAAGTTAATGTAAAAAAGGTACATTTCACGCATGCTTCATGTTTACAAATTTCTACAAAAAATACCGTGTTTCTCGGGATATATAGGTCACCGTCGAATGTCAATGCGGAACCATTTATACACTCTGTGCAGGCTTCTAAGTTCAGACACCATTAAATCCTACAAAAATGTTATAATTACTGGAGATATAAATATCAATATTTTACCTAAACTCAATGAGCAAGCACAGGACCGTAATAATCGATTAAACTATCTGAATATGTTGTCTATGAACGGACTTATTCCAGGCCAACTCATAGATTTTATATAAACAGCATTAAAAAACATCACCAATATTTCAAAAATACCTAAGAATAGATGCATATTGAAACCCTGGATAACACCAGGAATTCTTCGTTGTATCAATAACAGAAATAAAATGCAGAAAAAAATGCGTCTTGACCCTGAAAACGAAATTCTTAAGATCACATACAGAAGATACAGAAACTATACCGATAACCTTATCAAAAAATTAAAGCGGAAATTTGAGAGAGAACAGCTTGCTAATTCCAGCAATAACCCTAAATCACTATGGCGGTGTATTAATAATATTACTAATTTCAAAAAAAACTAAATCTGTAAATGAAGACCTTCTTAAAATAAAGCCAACATTTGCTGATTCAGTAAATTTCATAAATAGTTATTTTGCTACAACAGGTAAGTATTTAGCTGAAGAAATTATTAGAAAAAGAAACAAAAGTTCGAATATTAACTTCACGAATTCATCAATCCAAGCCGACGCTTGCGCTGGTGTAAGTAACTATTTTAACTCTGTTCCATATTGTATTCCTGATACTAGATTAATTTCTCCATCCTTTGTGTTGCTTGAAACGGACCCAAAAGAAATACATTCCATTCTTTTGGCCCTTAAGTCTGAAAGTGCCCCTGGGTGGGACAATATATATACTCGTTTTTTGAAATTGATTCACTTGAAGATAGTGCCCATACTTTCATATTTAATTAATTTATGTTTTAAACAGGGTATTTTTCCGGTAGCTCTAAAACAATCAACCATAACACCGGTGTACAAGGGTGGGGACAGAAATGATATAGATAATTACCGCCCTATCTCGGTTTTAACTTCAATTTCTAAAGTAATAGAAAAAGTTGTCAATTACAGATTACTAAACTACTTGAGTAAATTCTACATTCTTTGTAAACAACAATTTGGTTTTAGACAAGGAATTTCAACAGAACATGGTTCGGTTCGATTACTGAACTAACTAACGAAATTGTTGAACAAATAAACAAAGGTAACAAATGTCTTAGAGTATTCCTAGACTTGAAAAAAGCATTCGATACCGTTTCTGTCCCTATTCTTGTACAGAGGTTGGAAAAGATGGGTATCAGAGGAACTGCAAATTTGCTGCTAAGAGATTATTTAATAGATCGTAAACAATGCGTCAAAATTGGAAATGTCACCACCGATTTAAAAGAAATATCCTACGGAGTCCCTCAAGGTAGTGTTCTGGGGCCTACGTTGTTTCTATTGTATATAAACGATCTGTGTAACTTTAACATTCCAAACGCAAGAATTTTTACATACGCTGATGACACAGCTATAATTTTTAGCGGTTCCTCATGGGAAGATGTTAATAGAAATGCTGAGGTGGGGCTCGCTGGGATTGCTACTTGGCTGGAAAATAACTTACTTACAATAAACAGCAACAAAACAAAATATGTATATTTCACTATAGATAAAAGAACACAGCCGAGTAGTGACTTTCATATCAGGATACATAAGTGTGGTAGTCCCAGAAGCTTTAACTGTACCTGCCCGATAATTGAGAAAACTGCACATATAAAATATCTAGGTATTTTAATGGATCAAAATCTGACATGGCATACTCATATAGAATAAGTCCTGGTAAGGGTTAGAAAGCTCATTTGGCTCTTTAAAACACTCCGATGTGTTGCAGATAAAGCACTTCTAAATAAAGTATATGTTTTATTGGCCCAGTCTATACTATGTTACTGCATTCCTATTTGGGGTGGAGCAGTAAAAACAAAGTTGTTAGATTTAGAAAGAGCACAACGATATCTGCTTAAAGTAATGTACTTCCTGCCATGCAGATTCCCCACTGATAAACTGTACAAATATTCCGACTTATTAACTATAAGAAAATTATATATACTCAACTTAATACTAAAAGGTCACAAATCCTTAAACTATGATCCGAATATACTCAAGAAAAGAAGAAAATATGCTGTTATACCTATAAAACCGGCAAAATCTAGTTTCGCTAGAAGACAATATTGTAGACAAGATACTATTCTGTACAATATGGTAAATAAAGCACTTAATATTTATCCAATGACTTGTTATGACTGCAAGAAGATACTCATTGAATTGCTCAAAACTCTAAATTATACGGAAATAGAGGGTCTACTCCAAACTATAAAATAGCCAATGAAAAATAAAAATATTATTATTGGTTTATTCATACACTAAAGGTGTATGGCTCAAATTGGCCTAAATGCACAAAAAATATTGACATACACGGTAATTCTTGGCGTAATTTATAATTTAATTTACAGTCATTAGATTTCAACGGACACCTTTGTATAATATATTTACTTTAAAGAGGACTTTTAATTTTACCGGTTTGGAAAACATACGAATCATTTTTAATGGCTATGGGTGTAGTAACATTCAGCCAAAGACTGATCGAAGTTGTTTATATAACATAAAAACAAATCTATTTTGTAAAGATCGATAAAATAAATCATATTATTTAATACACTGTGGTATTAATATCCAGAACTATATTATCATTTTCTCGATGCAAATGTGCTCAGACAATTATTATAGATGGTATGCGACATCATAAAGTCTATTGCCATACATTTTTCGCCAAACACCTCCATAAGCACATTATAATCTGTATATATGTTAGACTTTAAGGTATCTATCTATGGGCCTACGTTCCCTGACTATAAATTAATAATTAAATAAAATTATAAGGTGTGATACACTAAAAGTCTCAAATATGGTTATCTTAAAAACATAACAAAAATAATGAAGCAGATGACACCTGATTTTAAAAGTTACTCTTATGCATTAACTTTAAAAACAGGCAAATATCTGTTAATCTACATGCTCTATATACCTGAATCTAATCCATAATTTCGGTACTTGGCTTGATTTCCCTAGTTTACTATATAACTTATTTGTTTTTTATTATTTTAATATGTTCAGTGTATATGGTTTATAGAAGTTCTCAGGGGTGTCCGTCAATAATATTCGTGTCTACAGTAATTTATATATAATTTCGAATCTAGGAAACAATTTTTCATGATTATTAGTCTTTAGGCCAAACATGTATGGAAGCTGAGCAATCTCCTTTCTACTACATACAGAACCACTCTCTACGGCATGGAAACATTTACATTTACACATTAACATACTTATACTCCTCATTCATATACACACACAAAGTTCATCACACACACACACCACATGCACACCCACACACACAAACTCCCCTACAACTATAGTTTTAGTTTGATGTAAATTCATCTCTTAGATTAATCTTGTAACGGTGATGGAAGAGCGGTGCCTCCTGCTACAGGTATCGCTATACTTAATAGGATTGCACCAACAATGTAATTAGATAAATAGGTTAAGTTAGAGAGAATAAACATATTTTATTTATTATTTTTATTTTATTTATATGCGTTTAATACGCATTCGAATTATTGAAAAAAAAATCTTTATGGATTGTTTAACTTTCGTCTCAGAGGAAGTTGAATAGAGTATAAGCATAGTTCCGATCGCATTGTACCAAGACCATTCTGTACACAGAGACGTCAAATAAATTCCAGCATTAGCCTATAATGTCCCCACTGCTGCGGCACGGCCTTCCCTATGACATAGGGAAATTGGGTCATAACCCAACGCGGGCCCAATGCTATTAACAAGAGATGGGCCGACTATAGTATTTGCCGACTAATCGGTTTTCAATTACCGACTAGTCGATAATGCCGATCATTCTAATACCTATCTTAAAGAGATGTTCGGAATACTTCGTCACGCACGATACGAATCATTGCGCGGCCGCTGAGCATCTTTTAACTATATTTAGTTTACCTACATTTTCATTTCAAATGTTCGTTTTGTGTTTAAGATTAACAATAATCTAATTAAGATAAAATAAAAAAATATCAGACTGTAAATTTAGATAGATGTATACTCAAAAACTGTTAGAAATAAAAAAACAAGCATGAATTGTTAGTTTTATTTCACGGCTTAACGCGCCTTCCGAAGCACGGAGGAACTCGAGATAATATTTTTTTGGTTACCCATTCAATGACCGGCCATTGCGAAAATTGCTTAACTTCCACTATCGCAGATCGAACTCGTTAACCACATGCGCCATCGAGCTCCTCAAATGAATTATTTGTCAATTAAATTGACGTGTTGGCTTACTGTATTTATATTACTCCTCCAGTATCATCTCAACGATTTTCATTTAAATTATTTGGGGTGAAGGTATCTTTTATAGATAGAGGATGCCAGATTATCTATACATCGACTATAAAATTACAGTGATTAAACATTAAGAGATTTGAAACAATTTCCCATTCAGACAGAACGTGCAAAACAAATTATTGCAATTGCCTAATTTGACAATAATTTTTGACGCATAATTTCTTTGTTTACAGGTATGGCAGAGAGTACGCGGACCCATATTTAGGGCACAGCATTGGCCCCGTCACAGGTTATGGGGTAAGTTATTCCACCAAAATGCAATACCTTTTTAACCGACTTCAAAAAAGGAGGAGGTTCTATCTTCGACTGTATTTTTTTTTATGTATGTTCACATATTTCTCCATCAATTGTGGACCGATTTCCAAAATACTTTTTATTCGAAAGAGTGCACTCCGGGGTGGTCCCATTGGAACCAAGTCAGGATCTCATGGTGGAATCCGGGGAAATCGAGGGAAACCTTCAAATTTCAAAGGCACGAACGACATTTTGTATGCATGTTCACCGATTTCTCCGTCAATTGTGTTATTGTTTACTTGGACGATGTAATTTTAACTAAGTTGTATGAAATGAATTATGTATCCGTATTCAGAATAGTGATAACCATTTTCGTATTTATACTTAATTGCACGAATGAGGATGTTTATGAAAATCACGTCACCAGTTGGCGCCACTGTGGCGTGTGTTCTTTTGTATGGAGTTATTGGCGCGAATTAGATTTTTCTGTGATGGCACCTTCCGGATGCGAATAATCGACAAGCCTAAATTTTCCATAGACTACATAGAGCAACACGGAAGGGAGTAGCCATAGCGGCCTATTACTATTCAAATACTTCTGCCATTTTTGTGTGGGGGGGGGGGGATATGTATACATACACTTAAACATTGACACAATACACTACCAAATCCTACACACATCATATAGCAAAGGGGAAAGCTGTGTATGCCTTCTCCCCTCCTGGCCGCGTCGGCCGTGTTGCTCTATACTAGACTTTGACGACTTACGAATTGTGCCCGTCATTGCAGAAAACTCATTTCAATACAATCCAGTTAGTATCCTAAAATCAGACTTACATACAAAGCGAGACAAATCAAACTCACACGTGGCATGCAATTTCCCTATTTATTTAATTCAATCATACAATTTCTTTTTTTTTCTTTACAGACTGCAGTTTACAGAAGTGGATACAACAGGTTCGCGCCATACTAAAAGCCAGTGGAACAGAGTTAAAAAACAGAATCTACTCGAATACGAAACTACCTTCACCTTTAACTAACATGACAATGGACTCTCTTTGTAAACGTACAAACATAATTCATAAATTAAGGTAACAGTAATAGTGCTAGCCGATTATTATTACTGTGTATAAGCTTGGATAGCATAGTCAACTAACAGTAGGGCGCTCCGCGTCTGAACTTATGAAATACCAAAGTCATTAAAATTTCTAACGGAAATAGTTTATTAAGTTAAACTGTATTGTAAATTATTTGTGTACCTAATGCTATACAAGTGCGAGCAGCTAAAATAAGTGCTTCTGTTCTATTAGATATTTGTAAGAATTGCTATTTTAATATAAATAAATAAACACATGAACGAATGTGTGTTAACTACATACTAGTGTACGCTATTGTCTAGTGTAGGTGTTACACTTGGTTATTGACAATAGAAAAATGTTTCGTGTAATGATGATATTTAGTGAGCTTTGCACTTGCATATCATAGAGAAAAATTGTATATAACTGAATCCCCGAAACATTGTGGTTTACAGAAGAAGGAAACATATTTTTGTTTATTTCAGTTAACTTGTCTGTGACAAGCCTCTTTAACATGATCCAATGGTGGGTAACATTCGCGTCATTGAGAAATGTTTGTGAAGTATACTTTTTCCATCGCTTACGGTTTGTACGCTAAATATTATATTTACATGAGATTCACACTGTTAGGCCGATTCCGTTATCTTGTGCAGTATTTCTAATATCTCTGGAGATTAAACAGTTTATCTTTTATTTATTTCCACCGCCATCTTGTATAATCTAACAACAAGGCGATAGAAACAAACGAAACATATTATGACTACATCGAGTCATATGAATTAATCTATACTAAATACTGCAGAAGAACAGAAAAGAAAATAACGTTTCGGTAAATCGCACGGTATGAGATTACCTTTATATCCAACAATTCCTGAATCGGAACGTAGATGTGTTCGTTATACGTAGTTTAACACGTGAATTGTTTTTTCTCGAAGGCCACTGTTTTACACTGCGTGTGACGAATCGTCTTGATTTTCCACTGCCCTTTATAAAGGGAACACACTACCACAGTTCGCTAGTCTCAGCGTTCAAAACAGAGACAATAGATTTCCAAGCCACTTCCAGAACTTTTTTATATTCATAACATAATATTTTATGGTGCGATTTTATACGGTGCCATTAGTTCGGTTGTTCTCTTTAACGATTATTATATACGATACATATATTTTTCAAAAGTTACCTTCTATACCTTAAATATTGAGTAACGTTGAATAGATGTAGGATGGTAGCGGCCGAGTCCCAGAGTGTCCCTCATATCGGCCCATGCTGTGTACAGTTCGCTTCAAGTCGTTAAGCATACATAACTAAAAAAATTACCTTTCGGTTTTGTCTATTATTAAAAAATTGAAAATCGCTAGTTTGTAATGTTTAATATTTTACTGAAACGTAGGCGTAACGCTTTAGATGTAGTGTTAAGGGAAGAACGGAACTCCATCGAGTTCTCACATATCATTGAGATTTCTCCTCGTAATTGTTTTTCGATGCCGCCCTTGACGGTGTCCGATTTTACAGTGCTATAATAATATGTATATTTTAATACTTTTTATCTGGTATTTTCATTTTTATGAACAAACACGCGTACGGGTCCAACCCTATTTAGACTTCGTCGTCGTAACTTAGATCTAACGTTTGCATTATAGTTTTATAAAGTATCATATGACATCTATGGATTCGCTCAACGTTTATACCAAAGCACAAAACCCATCGATTCGTACCTATCCGGAGCGTTTGAATGTCACTAACCACATCTCATTTGTAGATTTCATAGTCTTTCATCAAGAAAAACTTAACAAATCTATGTGAGCCTACCTACATAGATGATTCGTTTCGAACAATATAATTTAAGTTATTTTACCGTAGTGTCTTAAGTAATTTGTTTTCTCTATGAACATATCCGTTTGCCATCTAGAGTAGTAGTCGCTTTTATTAAACATTTTAACACGATGATTGTAGATCTGAAGCGTTAAATCATTTTTTTTGTGAACGTCCTAGTTCATTTCGTAAGTTTCATCACGTGAATGATCGGGGTTACATGTAATTGTTTGTCATCATAATTTCAGTACAGTCTCACTAATACGAACATATCAGAAATTAAGTTGAGTGTCGGATGCCATTAAACGAATAAGGTACAGCTTATTATGAGCGCGGTGTCGTCTACAATGATAGCTTTAATTATCACTTACAACTATAGGTAAGGCGTTCACCCGGCCACTCCCGATTCGTGCAGTCGGTTCCATGACATGTTTTCGCTCTTGCAGATGTTTTCTCTCTAGTCTTTGTTTTGCGCACAAAATGTGAAGGTGCTTATTTTTTCGTAAAAGTTTTCATGTGATATTTACGGAACAGATTTTTATGTTCACCTGATCTTGATTTGAACGGATGCTCCTTTTTTAGTTTCACTTTATTTGTTAAGATAGTTTCGTGTCATATATACATTTATATTGCATCTATTATAATTATCTGTGTTTACGTCTGTCTGATGCTGGTATCGCAGCCTCACCTGTGCCACTGGCTTGTATCCTGTAAGTTATAGTCGTTACTTTGTTTAGTCGTAACTGTAGCCAGCCATGTCGCAGCTTCGAACAATATTTTTGCTTTACTGCTGAATACTCATGCGTGAATGCGTAATTTTAAGTGAACCCATAGTTTAGTAGGCATTAATCTCTTTAAGTTTTCAAATGCAAATTTTGTATCTTAAGTACATGAACAAGTACATGTGATTCTATTTGATGATTTTATAAATTAGTGTTTAATATTTTGTCCAGTAACCGATGTCACAAACTATTATGTATTATATTACTTTAATTAAGCTTGTACAAGTCAACAGGGCGTGCTTTAGCGTAGTGGTCTATATGATTGATAATGAAATTGCACAGAAAAGTTTATTATTTTTAATCTAAAACACGCCATGTTCATTTGATTGTTTTATAATCCTCTTTGTTGCCGTTTATGAAATATGTTTTTGAATAAATTAAAATGATCGCAACAACAATTTTACTTTTTTTATGGAAGACTCTTATATATGCCAAATTTTCACTTGGAGAAAAATTTGAATTTAAATGACATATCTGACAAAATGGTTAGTGTGCTACGATAAGATTTGAAATCATCAAGAACAATGTATTATAAATATAATAATCATTTAAATTAAGGATAATGTGTATTTTGTAACGCGATTTGTTTCTCGGTTTTTATGAGATGTTAAATTAAAAAAAAAGGAATCATACTATTCTCGTTTCATTATGCTGTGCACAAAATTATACGATCGACGGCTTCGATTTGTAATCATTATTAGGTCTAAACGAGTTGTTATGATGTTGTGCATAATGAATCATATCAGTAGTGTTGTTGGCGGATGTCGATGATTGCTCCCAAGCGACAAGACTACTGCGGCGCGGGCCCTCTGTCGCCTCTCAACGTGAACCAACCGCAACTTTTGTAACTACCCTCGCAAAATTTACATTGAAATCTCGCTGTCTTTTTAAACTCAACAGATGGTTATGATATTACACATTTAAAGAAAATGGAGGGGTTTTAATCGTAATCAATTAATTTAGCTACAGTTAGGGGCGGTAGTAGCGTCGCGCGCGGCCACTGTAAATAGTGTTATCGGCGAACACCGCCGCATGTTATTCGTATATAATTTTCACCCTCGGGTTCATATTGTTAAAGTAGCTACAGTTGATAAGTATCACTTGTTCGTCAATTGCACTCATCGACGCTGTTCAGTTAGATTAGTAGAAAGAAGTACGCAGATTAGCAGGGTTATGATATCACACAGTAAAAACCTATGTGTCGCAAGTGTAAAATGTAATTTTTAAAATCCTAAACGTGTCGTGTCGAAACAGGCATTGCAAATTCATGTAAGTCGCGGCGCGTTTGAGACTTTAATTGAGAAATTGTTATAATTGAACGTGGGAACATAGGTAGTCGTAGCGCATACTGATCGTTGAAATGTAAACTGAATGCTGTGCGCTGGTGAACGTATGGTTTGCGATGTCAGTTGGAACCAAACCCAAGCTAATTAAACTTCTAAAAATCTTTAAAATAAAGAAAAGTCAAATAAACGCAGGTTACCTTACAGAAGTTATATGAAAAATGTACAATCAGTGATATATAATCGCAAATCATATGTTGGCGAAGCTCGAGCTGCTTTCTAATAATTTTGTTTGTAAGGTAAAGTTAGTGACACCACCCTTAGGTCAGCAGACACGAGTATGCGTTACGGAGGCGCGACTCGACCAGTATTCGGATACTATTACAATACCATGCTCAATTTCCGTGTAATTGTGTATGTTGTTCGTGTAATGTTAAAAATTAAATGTATTTGAAATTTAATATAAACAAAAATAGATTTGTTACATAATGAATGTCTTCCGTTCGGCACAGTTTATATAGATTCATTGCACGTTTAATTGTTGCACGTCCGTTGAAAAATGTGCAGATTTAGAACAAAAAGAAAGTCGAGCCAAGTGCACAGCGAGCTCCCTCGATTACGATTTGTGATAAAGTGAAAATAATAAATAGAATTTCCTTTTTTTAGTGTGGCAATTTATAGTGAATTGCAAGCTGATTTTCTCTTTTTATTGTAAATATATATTTGTTTTTCAAATGAAAAATATTGAATGAAGTGAATCATTTAAAAGCCTTTGGCATTGTGTACTCATTTACGTTATTAATAAATTATAGTATAAAAAAAGATTGTTTTATTACTAAGTTAATTTTACCTAACCTTTTTACATGTAAAGTATGTTCATTGTTTTATTACCAATGTTACGTACGCCGATGCAGAGCAGTGTGGAACAATTCGATACGACGAACGATAGTAAATCCGACGCGGTAGACGCTCAAATAAGTGTGGTTTTATTTGAGCGTCTACCGCGTCGGATTGACGCGTCGGGCTGCACACCCGAGTAGCGATTGGTGGGATGATAATATTATTAATGCTGATAAGATTACTGAGCTCTGATAATAAACAGTAATTATTCCTTAGTGTGAAATAATTAAAACAATCGTTTTACTAAGATAATCTGCTGGAAAATTGATAACGGCTGCGCATATGCCAGTCGCGCAATTGATGCCCAATGCGCAAACGCTTATAGTGGAGTTTATATTATATCTTATAACATTATGTACGTGAATAATTGCTATTGATTGTAATTGAAGTAGTAAATTTGCAAAAATGGTGGTGTGTCCTCCGTTCAAACTGTCTACTAAAGGTGGATTCACCCTGAACAGGACACAACGGACGCGCCCAGCCCGACCGACACGACGCGAAACGATTGTTGTAAGATTGTACATCAATATTTTTTACACTGTTTCCTTGTTAATTGACCTCTGAAATTAGAGAGGGAATATTATAAGCTTTTTTCTTTAACTAAACGCAGGTTAGGAAGATAATAGTGTCTTAGGTATAAGCGCTTAGTCACAAATTTACCTTGACCTACTAAAGGATTACTGGGAACTTGAGCATTTAAAATAATTATTTTATCAATAAATAAAGATAATAATATTTATTTTATTTCCTTCACACAATGTTATATACAGTCAACAATAGTAACATAAGTAGCTGCTATATGTATTTTTATTTTGTAAGTTTATATTATCAGAAGAACTGTGACGTAGTCCGTGTCACCTTATGGTAAAAGTGCTTAATTATACCTACAATCCACATGTATAATGATGCACTTTAATACACATTATGTGATCACAATAGACATTAAGCGACAAGTTTCTAACAATGGGATCTACTGTACACTAAGCAGAAATAAATTAGGGCTCCTACGCTACGGATACTACATATTACAGTTAACTACACCTACATACAGGTAGTTTGGAATTGGTGCATCAAAAAAAGCGACACCGTCAATCACGTAGGTTCTACAATTAGGAATACAAAGCGTCAGGATTTCATCTTATCTCTACTAGTTCAGAAGGCGTCCGGAAGTACCTATACCTACCCATTTCTAGTGTCAGGGGAAAGGTTTACCAATAATTACCTACGATCCAAAGGAAAAAAGAAATTACGTCTTTCCGCAAATACAATTCCATTAAATAAGAAGTTGACTTCTGGGTGTGAAGTGATAAAATAATTAAATTGATAAGCCTAAAAATCAGTGCAAAGATTAAACTTATGTGCCGATTAAAGGTACACCTCTATTATAGTAAGTATAGAGTTTATAGATTAAATTTCATTTATTACTAAAATACCAAGATAAACATGTACCTACGGAGGTATTTTTAAAAGACCATTTGAACTATTTTACCTAATTAGGTGTATATTACCTAACTAGTGGGTTCCCGCGACTTCGTTCTTTCGATTTCCCATACAAACTTCCACCTCCCTTTTAACGCCGTCAAAATATAAATCCTGTGTCCTTTCCCGGGACTTGGACTATCTCTAATGTCTTTACCAAATTTCATCTCAATCGGTTCAACGGTTTAAGCGTCAAGAGGTTACAGACAGACAGACACACTTTCGCATTTGTAATATAAGTATTCTTAACTGTGTTCCAAAACTAAAGTTAATCAATTTCTATAATATGCGCCATAAGATCTCAGGACTGGGTCAGGCGGGGGCATTAATAATATGGACTTAGAACTTCTAACGGGAGCTGAAACTGACACTTGGTATTATTGGTCTGGTCAATTCTTTCTTTCTTGGCGTCAATAGAATTTCCAGACAATTAGCGGTTTCTTAACATCACGTGCACGAGTCGCTTCGTTTACTAGCTCGGAAAGGTTCATGGACAGAGCAAGCTTATAAGCCTCTGATGATGTTAGGTTACTTAAGATCTTTTATGTACTTTTAATCTTATTAGTTGCGCCATAAGTGAATGAAAGAGTAGAACAGGACAGACAGGGGGGGGGGCATATTCTAAGTTAGCCTAGGGCGATCAGAACAGTCAGCCAGCTCACGAACAAAACTAGTTGCGCGTCGGATATTTCACTAGACTGAATCAAGTCGCGTGAGTGTATGTTAGAGATCAAAAATGCCAAAATATTATGTAAGTTGCTGTAAAACATATCAGCCCCCGTATCACGAGCACTACAATTTACATTATATCATGTTTTTTATCGCGTGTAACTGTTAAACTTTATAGTAATTTGACAATTGAGCCTGATAAATTCGCGTTATATATCATATAGCGGTGCTCATGCTACCCGGGGCCGGAATATTTAACTTACCAAAGGATGGTGTTAAATTTCACATGCAAGTAGAATTATTAACATCATATTGTTTCTATTTAAGCACTTCTAAACACAAAATTCTATATTATTTTCTTAAAATTCAGTCGCCGGACTTGTTTGACAAAACACGCCAGTACAAATTTCTGATCTGTCAATAAAAAATCTTAAGTTTCATCCATTCCCAATTTAGCGCTGTCATTTTTTATGTGTGAGTGTCGTAATTACAATTTCGTTTTTGCGAAAGTATGTTGGACTGCATTTGTGTGCATATTCCTTCCCCCGCAAAAAGCGGCAGAATGTTTTCAGTAGTATTATCATTAGTAGTACAGTCATTATGGCTACTCCCCTCCTAGCCGTGTCGGCTGTGTTGCTCTGTGGATCCTATATATTGTGTATTTTTTACAGATATTTCCAGACAGTGGTGGCGAATTTTCTCCGAGAAATGACAGTGAACTTTCTAATGGTTATTCTATTACACCAATCAAAAATAATAGTTTATCTTTGCAATCAAATGGCGCTGAAGTTACCAAGGAATTAAAGATACAAAGTAACCCGAGCACACCAAGTAGAAAATCTAGCCGTAAAGATTCGGATTTATCTGATGATGATATAATAGACAATCGCAAAAGTAGCGCAGCCCGTGTAACTATATCTAAATTAGTTAGTGTGGCTCCCACTAAACATGTAGCTAAGCGAAGAGCGGTTATACCGCCGCCGATTCAGATAGACACAACAGATTTACAATATGAAAAGTATGATAAGGACCAAAGGTAAACCGATATTTATGACTTAAAAATCGTTTTGGTACACATATTTCTGTTTTACCCTTAATAATTTCATTAAATCGGCATTTTTTCGATTATTCAGTTCCGCTACACAAATCAGCAAAGCTATCATGATGAATGATTTCCTGAGGAATTTGATGGATGACGAGCGCTTAACTGCAGTGGTGGAAGCTATGAGTCCTCAAGAGTTCCCGCCGGGCAGTCTTATCATCCGTGAGGGGGAGAGTGGCAGCCACTTGTACGTATCCGCTTACGGAGAATTTGAAGTCCTCAAGGGGGGTCAAGTCGTGAAGACATTCGGAGCAGGAGAGGCATTCGGAGAACTCGCCATTCTGTACAAGGCAAAACGCTTTGCTTCAATTAGATGTAAGTAGCTTTAATTTTTCACATTTATTGGTATCTTTATCTAATAAGCCATAAAATTATTTAATCTAAACTATTCAACGTTTTACTCATGTTATTCTATTATTTCCGCTTAATAGAAAAACATGAGTAAATTGATGAATAAATGGAAACGTCAAATAACTCAAAACATTGATCATTTAATATTTGTCATTTTCCTGTATATTCGTTGATGATACATACATAAACAACCGCCAATAACACTTTTATTAATGCAACTTAAATATGAAAAGAAACTGACAACTAATGGCTGATATGAGTTTTCATCCAGGCTTATCTAGTGATGAGGTAATTGATTTATTTTAAATCATTATTCGAAATACTGTTATTGATATATAAGTAAAGCTGCTAAAGAAAATCCTAAATAGAAAAAAATGGCAATGCACAAATTTTTCTAGTACCTAATATTTTATTTCGTCATACCTACTTAGGCCCGTAGTAATGAGAGCGATCTTTAGATGCTGTTTTGTATGAAAACAGCATCTTAAGATCGTATTGGTACGGGCCTTAGATACTTATCTAAAGATACTCGGCTTAGGTATCGGCGATGCAAAGGTATGGGTGTTGGAGCGGCGCGTGTTCCAGAAGATCATGGTGCGCAGCGGGCGCCAGGAACAGGAAGACAACATTCGGTTTCTGTCCTCCGTTCCGCTACTGCAGGAGATCCACCCCATAGAGCTCACTAAAATGTCCGGCTTCTTGAAGAGAGTATGTTTTGAATACAATATGTTGTTTTGGTTACTTCACTACTTTCTTTTTTAGACATTAGTTTTAACACTCATCAAATAGCCTAGCCCCAAGGCAACTGCAAGGCCTGTGTTATGGGATGCTAAGGCAACGTAAGGAAATACATATACATAAGTACACATTTATAGAAATATACTCCCAGACACATCAATCAGTTTAAGTTTTGGCTTATATGGTTTCGAAGGCCTCTAGCTAAAAATAAATGTTATATTGAGAAAAACGGTTTTTTCGCAGTTTTGAAGCTAATTAACCATCTTTTTCGAGTGTTCTAAAAATATATTGTTATACGTCAACTTTACTTAATAATATTGCTGCGACAGACCAAATTCTTTGCTACAGATTCTTTATACCGTTAAAATTTATAACACTAGTGGGCCGATAGATGTGTCCGGCAGTGTATATGTTACCGGTCAAACCCGATTTCAGGACAAACTAGTATTGCCTAGGCTAAACTAGTTTTTCCTATACGCGATAGGATTAACTAGTATAGCCTAGTCCAAACTGATTTGTCCTAAGCTAGATAGGATAAACCAGTTTAGCCTAGGCCAAACTAGTTGATCCTGATATAAATACGCACACTCTAGGATAAACTAGTACGGCCTAGTCTAAACCAATTTAGCAGAGTCGAAAGTAATTGAACAACATGTCAGGACTTGTACAGGTCCCGTCATGTAAAAAGAACGCTGGAAGAAATAATAATAAATAAATAAATATTTCCAACACTCACACCAATTAGCCTAGCCCCAAAGTAAGCACTGTAAGGCTTGTGTTATGGGATACTAGGGTAACGGATAGAATACATATACTGTACATATATAAGTATATTTATATAGAAAATACATATTAAACATCCACGACTGGAGTACAAATGCTCGTATTCATCACACAAACATCTGCCCCCACCGGGATTCGAACCTCGGACCTCTCGAGTCGGCGACACCATGAAACCCGGCGTACAAACCACTCGGCCACGGAGGTCGAGGTACACTCGCACACATAGGTAATAGGCTTTTGTGTTGTGAGATGCAGCTGCTACAAAAACTGTTCCACAAACAGATGCCAATTAATGATGGCAATGATACAAGAAGACAAGAAGGCAATGACACTCTGCAATTCTAAGTGCCACCAAAGCACACTATGTAAAAAAATGGATGCGTGTAACTTATGTACGCGCGTGAGAAGTTATACTTCTTTAGCATCATTAAAAATATTTTTTAATTGCATGAAAATAATTAATAATTACAATAAAATAATAAAAGGACTGGAAAAGGATAGTTAACACAGTCAATTAAGTTCAGTTTTAATTTGAAAAATTAAATAAATATTCAAAATATTCAATTAAAATCACTACTGAATTTAAGTTATTAGTCCATATGTAATTAGCACTTGTAAGTAACTAAAACACGTTGTGTCTATATAGAAACTAGAAACATGTGGATAAATATTATAAATATGAAAACAGTGATCAGAGGCGACGAGCGTGCCAACATTGTTTTTGACAACGCGATCATCTTATGGAGCTCCGTGGATCGTTCAAAGTACCTTTCGAACAGATGTCTAATAATGGTGGAATATTATATAACCACTAAGTGGTTAATAATCCACCATTATTAGACACTAACATTCATAACGCGCCCGCGGCCAACTTCATGGTGTTACTATTGTGTTACAGTGATGCACGCGTATCTCGAAATTTCACTCACATGATTTTTACCCGGCTGCGCAATGCAAGAGCGCGAAGCGCGACGCGCAGACAGGGTTATGTGTTTAACAGTCTATATATGTATGTTTGTTCCTTTGTGGCACACTAGAGACCAAACGCCTGGACCGATTTTGATGATTCATACATCAATCGATTCGTCTCAATCATGGAAGTGCTACTAAAGATATGATAGTAATCAAAATTCAATATGGGCAACATTAGGCGCCATATTGTGACGAAGTAAAAAAAATAAGTTGACAAAATATGTCGAGTGGGGTATCACTGTCTAGATAATCAAAAATCATATTTAGGTTCCTAACACCATTTTTCATTTTATATGATTGTTTAGGATCTACAACGCTTTAAAGTTGTATATTAACCACTTGCGATTTTAATTTCAATCTTACGTTTGTATGGATCTTTGTTACTCTTTCACCTAAAAAATACTGAATGGATTTTAATGAAACTTAACAGTAATATAGCTCATATATGATAATTACATATATATAATAATTTATGTAGTTATTGAGTGAATTGGCCAATATATAGCAATAAGTGTTACATAAGACGGAAAAAAATGTCCCATCTGCGAGCCATTTTGGCCTGCACTGCAAAAACAATAAAAGTTACATGAATGTAATGTAGAGTGAAAATGTATCTCTTAAATAGTTCTAAAAAAAAGTCCGTGACACCATATATCTATTTTTAATGTGTAAGTCATTACCGCTAAAATAGTGAATCAAAACTAAAATATTATTTGATATCTATTTCCAAAATGCACATTTTGTATAAACAAATCATTTTTTATCAAAACAAATACTTTAATCGCTTTTGATATGTAAAGACGATAAACTTTGCTTTTTACACTGTGTCATATCGACAAATATTTAAAAAGTTACAACGATGACAAAGTGATAGCGCGGTGTACTATGTAAAAGAAAATTTGATAATAAATGCGATTGCTATGGTGCTCTACCTAACGTTATGAAAATTTTATTATGCGCCTTTAGTTTAATCAAATATTATAAACTTTGCTTTGGTGATTGCATAATTATTTAATTTAGTGACCTAAGGCAGTTGCCACCATTGTCCAAAACAACAGACGGGAATTACTTCTTGCTTCAACCTGCGACATAAACGTCATTGATTGGTATTGTATATAGGGTGATTAACAACATTTGAAGTTAACTTCTGGCATCTACATATTGAGTTTCTGTGAATTATGTAGGTATATCAAATTAAGTGACTAGGGACTGACACTGAATTTGTGTATATCACATTTTTGTTTTAATCTAAGATATCACAATCTTAGACGTCCGGCATTGACATGACAATGCAGCCACTGCCAATTTTAAATAGTGGACGAATAAAAGTAAATGAATTTTATATTTACTGCTAAACTATTAAAAAAACATAAACAAAAGATCACTTTTTGAGTAAGTGCTAGTTTACTATAAAATTTACATACATTAGAGATATTTATGTAACGACTTGATTTAACTTCACACATTTTTGCGAAAATTGAGGCCCATCTGTAGCCTTGACCCCGCTGGTAAAGTCTTTATATGTCTTAATAAATCAATCTTTTAGACCGACGCAAGGTACTTAATAATTCCCGCGATATTAATTCCCTTAGTGAAGTAACAAGACTACGGTATATACCGTCTTAAAATACTAACTAAAAAGTGTGAAATAAAAAAGGTAAATTTAAAAAATCAAAAAACCCGACTGCTTAATTATTCTTCAAATAAAAACTGAAAAGAAAAAAACAAGTCCAGTAGTCTATAATTCTGTTAATAAGGAACAAAGCTACTTTAACAGTCGGGACCCACTGTTGAAAAATATTATGTATTCTTGAATATCTAATGGGTCCCGACTGTTAAAGTAGCTTTGTTCCTTATTAACAGAATTATAGACTACTGGACTTGTTTTTTTCTTTTCAGTTTTTATTTGAAGAATAATTAAGCAGTCGGGTTTTTTGATTTTTTAAATTTACCTTTTTTTTACATAACGCGCCCGCGGCCAACTTCATGCTGTTACTTTTGGGTTACAGTGATGCGCGCGCATCTAAAAAATTCACTCTCATCATTTTTTCATAACGCGCCTAAAGAAGTATAACTTCAATAAATAACAATTTTAATGAATTGAGATATGATTATTGCTTCTATTAAAAACACATATTACTTGTTATAGTATGATTGTTTGTATTACTAATTATCCGTAATTTATAACGATGAATCATTATTGATTTAATAAAAAATATTATTTTTCCAATTACGGAGTGACTTTCTAGATATACTATAATGTTTAGACTAGGCCATACTAGTGTATCCTAGAGTATGCGTATTTATATCAAGATCAATTAGTTTGGCCTAGGCTAAACTGGTTTATCCTATCGGGCTTAGAACAAATTAGTTTGGACTAGGCTATATTAGTTAATCCTATCTCGTATAGGAAGAACTAGTTTAGCCTAGGCATAACTAGTTTGTCCTGAAATCGGGTTTGGCCGGTAACATATATAATAACACTCATGACTACCAACACTCGTTTTTATCATACAAACATTTGCTCCTAAGGGATCGAAACCCATAGATGCCTATAGATATAGACAAGACTCTACAGTGGCCATTTATTATAATCAAGCCATTATTTACGTTACTTTTTTAAAAAAAGTATATAAGCACTTGAAAAGATTTTCCGCGTCATCCCCTTCTCAGGGGATGATCGCTTCACATGAAGCTTTTAATCAGTAAGAGTCGGACACAACCTTTCAGCCGGCTATAGGGTATCCATGAGGATTTCACACCCGTTCCTCTGTCTGGAAGGAAACAAAAAAATCGGATGTTATCATTCGTATTTAAAAAAAATAATATCGAAATTATTTTGAGTTTGAGACGCAGTTTGACTTCGATTTGGGTATTTTAGATGAGATACATAGATTGATATTAATTGGTTTTTCTAATTTCCGATATAGAAAGTAAAGACTGAAATATATTGTGGTAACTACAGGCAACTACGGAACCTTTGTAGCGCGTGGCACGACACGCACTTGACCGGATTTTTTAATCACAAAACGACTTGGATATCGAAATATACTCATCAAAAAAGTCTAAGCAACATGAACCTTTTTGAACTTTTGACCGCTTCTTAATTTGTACCTATCTTTAATGGTTATATTCTTTTGTTAATAATAACCAAAGATTTATTAGTGACTTAAGGAAGAAAACATTAGAATAAATTGTACATTTCATAATGATAATATGTATAACTAATCAACAGATAAAACTTGTAGTTAGTATAGGTAATGGTGCATGTTGCTTAAATTTTTTTGATGTGTGTATTTGTTTACTGAATGGCATAAATGTGACAGGAATTCTTCTCCGCCGGCACCGCAGTGGTGAGGCAAGGTGACCGCGGAGACAAATTCTACATCATCCGCGGCGGCACGGTGGCGGTCACCAAACGCGATGCCGACGTTGAAGAACGCGTTGGAACACTGCGAAGGTATGGAGCTGTTTTTAATAGCTCTCTTTTGAGAGATTAGGCATATTAAGCGATGGCGAAATATGTAGGTATGAGTCTTCGCCGCCCTAAGGCCGTTTGTCCACTGCGGCCGTCACCGGGACATTAACGAGAGATTATTTCTGTAAACTGTGGACAAGCAGCTATAGTAATTGTATGTATCGCTACGCCGGCATCCCGTTGGATAAACGGCTTCCTGCGTGCTTTTTTCATTACTTAAGTAGATACTTTTTGTTTCAACTTCGCCTGATATGTAAGTACAATGAAACCTGGTTAAGTGGGACCTGGATAAGTGAGAAACCTATATTATTGAGAGTTGCAATGAGGTCCCGGTTCTTTTTCATTCAAATCTGTTAATGGGACTTTTTGAACCTGGTTAAACGAGATTTGAATTCTAAGACTCTTTCGATGTTTACCTCTATAATTGAGACTCTGAAGCTCAATTACCTGTATAAGTGAGACTAATTAATCAGGTTGTAACACGTTTTGACATATTTGTTTACATACATTTCGCGTCGTCTTTCGCGCATGCTTTGTTTGTCAGTACTATCTCAGGTTTTGACCTAAAAACAAGGGCCTCTGTAAATGAGACAACTATAATTTTAAACCTGCTTAATTGGAAAACTGGATTATTTGGATACCCTCAATAATTGGTACATTTGTCTTGGTCCCTTGAGATCCCAATTAACCAGGTTTCACTGTATTTTCTTCAATGAATGTAGAAAAAAAAAACTTTTTTACTATAATCTCAATAGTACCAGATAAATAGGTAACATAGCGCGGTGGTTAGGTTAGTGCATTTGCCCGAATTGCGAAGGACACTGGTTCGAGTCCAGTCTGATAATTTTGCCAAGGGATTATTTCCAGTAAAAGAATCCTTTAAAAATGAGAATACCGAATCTATCCAGACTAATCAATAAATTCGTTCCAAAACATTGCTCTGCGCCAAACATTATATATATTTGTTAATTTATTTAAAGGCTAAAGAAAATTAAAAAAAAACGTTTTTTTAAATATTCTCAACAGAGGAGACTACTTCGGCGAGCAAGCGCTGATGCATGAAGACCGGCGGCTGGCCACCGTGACCGCACTACCGCCCGGCGTGGAATGCTTGACCCTAGAAAGAGGGTAGGTCGTTCGTTATTCGCTCCATTTATTTTCACCATTCACAACGTGTTCATTGGAGCCTGTATAGTTAAAACAGAAGCTGTCATTTTTAGCATTGGCAACATTTTGTCTTACAAAGCTGATGACCAAATTCTACAACATCCATCGCGGAATTGATAGCATAAAATAAGTTTGTTGCACGTCATTCAAGTTGATCGTGTTATTATACCAAGATTTTTCAAATTTGCCATCATTTTACTAGTTTTCCTTAATCAGCCTCCAGCTTTGCTCTATTCATTACTCGTATACATTTTACTAGAACCAATACTACTACCTGTTGTTTAGTAAGAAGTTTAGATACGCTTTTTTGACTTTATAATTACTTATTGTTTTTTAAGAATGTTTTCTAAATAAAATTCCCGTAATTAAAGTACATATAACTGAGTAATCTAGATTGATTAAAGTGTAGATACTTATGTAGATAAAGATTAGATAAGTAAATTACACTTCAGATTTTTACATGATTATTAAAACTGTAGTATTTATTATACATTTTTGTAGTGATCCATACAATTAGGTATGTTTTGGTTTGATGTAGGCAAGCACGTAGCACGTTTGGTTTGATGTAGCAAAACAAGTGTTTTACAAACATTTTTAGGAGTTTTCTCACGGCACGAAGCTATTCATAAACTAATGATAATAACTATTATAAGTATACTATGTACGTAAGTTATTAAGTACTCATTTCAATATATTTTCAGACCGTTCACTGATTTCCTCGGACAGGTAGATGAACTAAAACGAAAACGACACTTGGTACCGGGGCCAAGTGAGCCAAAAAAGGGTTCCCAAGTGAAAAGTGGTGAGTAAATTATATTAAGCGTCTTGAATTTAATGAACCGTATATTTTAGGACACAAAACATGTGCTCAACCCATAAACCACGCTTAAACAATGAAAAAGCTTGGTTCGATTAATGTATATTCCTTTTCCGTGTTCTTGTCCTTCACTAACTTGTGTAGAATCCATTAAATATCTAGGTGTCACATTAGACAATAAACTTAACTTTAAAGCTCATATCAAAATAACCTCTGGCCGAATCCGTAAGCTTATTTAAGTTTTCAAAAAAATACGTCATGTTGCCGAGCCGCATATAATTAAAATGGTTTATCTAGCACTTTGTCAATCTATACTCATGTATGGCATTACCACCTGGGGTGGAGCCGCCAAATCCAACTTTCTATGCTTAGAGCGTGCTCAAAGAGCTATACTGAAAGTGTGTATGTTCAAGCCAATTCTCTTTCCCACGTTTGATTTATATCAAATCACGCAAGTGCTCACTGTAAGACAACTGTTTATCCTGTGTACTATTCTAAAAAAGCATAAAGATCGAATACCTGTTACAATAACTACGCGTACAGCACGACGCCCGCCTGTATATGTATCTCCTATACTTAACACCTCTTTCTCTAATCATTTTTATACTTTTCTTGGACCATTTCTCTACAACAAACTAAATCGAAAATTGACAATACATTTACTCACCAGATTCTGCTGCAAGAAGAAAGTCACCAATTTCCTGCAAAACCTAAACTATTTTGAAACAGAAAGCTTTATGAATTCTTGAATTACGAGCCAGTCCCACACGCCCCCTCCACACACGCACACTAACACACACACATACGCACACACACACCTCACACATGCACATAAACACGCACACCATACTCACAACCAACACTACCATATTCCATATCATGCAAAATAATATAAATGTAATTTTAGATTTTATCGTTGTTCTCCTTTTTTTTGTGCTTGAACACTTTCTTAAGCGGGGAGAGGCTGGTGCGCTGAGACACAGGCGTCAGCTTAGTTTGGTCACCAGTCTCTCACAATCTTAGACCTAAGTTTTTTAATCTGTTACTCATGAAGCATGTATAAGATTGTGGAGAGAAATAAAGTTTATTATTATTAATGTATTATTAAACTGATAATTGGTACCAATTTTATATTAAGGATCTTGAATCAGAATAAATAAAAAACGAGTGAGCCTTATAATGTGAAGTACCTGCAGTGTTATTCTATAAGTCAAACTCACTTTTCAATGCGGAATAATTCACCTGTGTAATTTGAAATTTATTTGAAAATCGCGTTTTAATGACACTTCGGACTCTAGGGTTTAAAATGAGTTTAGATATCTCACAACATTATCAAACATAAAATAAAAAAGATACATTAAAAATTCAAAAAACCCGCCTGCTTAATTATTACTTCAAATTAAACTGAAAAGAAAAATCAAGTCCAATAGTCTAATACTTTCACTCAAGGGCGAAAGCTCCGCCTCCGGTCAGGGCTTAATACTCGTTACTTTTCGCCTAAACCAATCTTTGCTGTATTCGTCTTTGACGACGATTTGCAGCCAGCGCGGCTTGAAGGTGCAACCTTCAAATGTGATTGGTCTCGCCCAAATCTCATGGTCGTGAATAGCCGCCCTGAGGATGCTGCGTTTGACCAGCCCTAATTGGTCATCCGTCATGGGTTCCTTATTGCGGATCCTCAATCGGATGTCCGTAATGGCATCCGTAAAGACTTCAGCGGTCTAGCCAATGTGCTAGCTACCGACAACACCTCAGCGTTTGGCTCAGCACAGGTCGTTTGGGGCGCCCCTGCGGATGAGCCGTCGCCGATACGCTTTTACTTTGTACTTTTCGCTTGGTTTTTAAGCATTTTCTTCTCATATATATACATAGTTTAAAGGCCTCTGTTGGGTCCATACCCTGTGCTTTGAGACGTCTGAGCTATCTTCGCTCTACCCGGGTGAGGTTTGGCCATCTCTTGGGCAGACAAGTGTCCGGCATCGATAGCGCAGGTGAGTTTGTTTTAGTCAAACTTGCGCCTTCGACGCCGGACTCCGATCCAGGTCCATTAATATCGAACTCAAAAGAAAAATTTAATTTTCCTTCGAGGCTAACTCCGACCAGTGGGGAAGAGAAGCAGTAAGACTGCTTGTTGTTTCTGGTCGTTCTAAGTCGCCTAGAGAGAAATTGTCTTTATTTTGTTATCTTCTTCCAAACAATTCCTACGAGAAGCTAGGGAAATAAAAGGTCCACTCAAACAGAGCTCCGCGTGCTCGAGTAAGCCTAAATTACTACTCCAGGATTGCCATTTCACTGGAGGGACACCGTTCATGACCTAGCGCCAACTTGGCCACGCATCCCTCAGCACGGTACGATTGACACCTTGGATTGGGGGTTGGGGTGAGGAGTTGAGGAAGTAACAGGAATAGGGTATGGGGAATTCAAGGATGTGTAAGGATCATAGGAAATGGGTATAAGAAATCTCTCACCCTGTGGGAGTGGGTCAGCCCTTCAGCTACTTGGATTGGATCCCAGGGTGGTTGGAAGTGTGCAATGCCTGTTGCGGACCCAAGTATTACCAGGATACACGGCGTGGACGTGGGGGCGTGACGGTCGACGCGTTTAGCTTAACATCGCACACTAAAGCATTGCATCAGCCGTCCTGCATCTCAAAAAAATACCTGCATACAATTTTTCTTAAAGTTTATTAACACTTTCTTACCTTACAATTTAATTTATATGTACAGACGTCACACAACGCATTCAATGAATAAACTATCAGTAACGTTAAAATAGTAAAATGAAAACAAAAACCTAACAAATCTGTTACTATTACAAGTCTGATTTTCTTGCCGTATCCATCATTGGCTATCATTATGAGCAACTTGTGTTAATTTTGCGTGAGCAATCACCTTTTTCATTTGTTTTTATGTCAAAGTGCTGGCAAACATGCTTACGCCCTCAATTACTTTCTTAACTCATGGTGGCGTATAGCGACAAAATAAAGAGGATGAAAAAAAAGTGAAAGGGTAAGGAGAAAACAGAAGAACAGAAAATCAGGTTACAGAATATATATTTGTATGAATGGCAAGCGGCCACCATAACCCAATTGACGCTTATGATACCAGAGTAGCTCTCATATGTTGCCTACCTTGGCTGATCCCGTTCCCTACCTCTTGGATCCCTGTTGTTGGTTCGATCTTGGTTAGCCTGAAGATTGTGCTATTTTACCTTCTGTAAATTGGGAATTACTTCTCCAGACAAAAAATCTTAGGAACCTCTTGAAAATCCATGTATTGATTTGCTTCTATATTAAATCAGGCTATATGTGCATAAAATGAAGTTGAATAATTTAAAGTTCTTCGTTTTTAAATACAGAGTTTGAGTACGTAGAGCTGAAAGACCTGGAGATAGTGGGAACGTTGGGTGTGGGTGGTTTTGGGCGAGTCGAACTGGTGCAATACAAAAAGGATAAGACGATTACCTTCGCCCTCAAATGCCTCAAGAAAATCGAGATGGTACAACAACAGCAGCAGCAACACGCTTACAACGAGAAACACATCATGATGGTGTGCGACAGTCCCTTCCTCTGCAAGTAAGATATATTTTCTGTTTTGCGTGGGGTAAAAAGAGATTTAAAGGTCACTATAGTAGGTGTTAACCATGAGTTAACAGGACAGCTGTTTACAATAAAATAAATAGGAAAAGCGGTTTTAAAAATAGACTTAGGTACTCCTGGAGATCTGGCAACCTTACTCATGTTAAGTGTGTAGATGACAGAAATACTACTAAATATTGAAAATGTTGTTGTGTTATTAAAATAGGGTTCTTTCTTTCTATAAGATTCATTTAAAATATTCAGTATATGAATCCCCTATGTCACCTATTTGCCGGACTAGGTACATCGTAGTAATAAATGATCTTTTGGATGTTTGGGGATATAATCAATAGGTATAAATAAATGTAATGTAAGGTATCTATGCTTTTGTCAAAGAAAAGCCTTTTTCAAAACTGATCTGTCATACTTACTAAGAATTTCGGTACTCTTAGCTTAGTCACATAATTATGGTGACTCTTATTCAAATGAATATTGGAAGAAAATACAAAAAAAATATGGAATACCAATTTTATTTAGGTATTTAATTATTTCTTCCGTCCCAAGATCCCAAGTGGACGTTGGTCTATTTTGAGTGATGTGAAATGTGAACAGAATAAGTGTATAAGTCACAGATCACACCCACAAGAAAACTACGGATGGAACAAACTACGCTACCATCAAACAAAAATGTAAGGTTCTAAAAGTAAAAATGTTTCACATGTTTCAGTGGGATTTGAAATAAGAATACGAATTTCATATCACATCAATCAAATTTGTGTTCTAATTTCAAATCACACGGGGATTCCGCGGTGACAAGTGAGTTTGTTCTTACAGATTATGTTATCATTGCCAGCCTATTTACTTCGCAGCAAACAAAGGGACGTTTGTACCCTGCTGCTATAATTTGATTTGATTTCCTTTACAAATTCTAGCGGAGTGTAAATCGTAAGTCCGTCATAGAATCTTGTAGTAGATAGTATATAGGCACGATAAGGAAAGCTTGCCCATCTCTGCAGAGAATGCATATAATGTACCAAGTTTATGCAGCAATACAGCTTAAGCGTGTGACATGCCCCCAAACATAACGGTTATTTTACCAAATTTCTTATCCGATCGTGACTTCACACAGATGTGTTCAATCAAACCGCTATTTACCGTCTCCGCATTCCTTATTTTGGCTATTCCGATTTCAAACTAAACTTTTGTAATGCGGTCTCTAGTCGGTTCCCTACATGTATGATGTTTAACACTTTTTTCAGATTATATCGTACGTACAAAGACAACAAGTATGTATACTTCCTGATGGAGCCTGTCTTGGGGGGAGACGTGTGGACGATCCTTCAGAAGCAGCGATTCTTTGCCGAAAATGTGGCTCGGTTTATGACGGCATGTGTGGTGGAGGCCTTCGAATATCTACACTCGAAAAACATCATCTACAGGGATCTTAAGCCGGAAAACTTGATGCTCGACAAACACGGATATATCAAACTGGTGAGAAAGAAACATTAGATATCAAAACATATTTTTAACTTTGTCCCAGCAAATGAATTGTGGAACATGCTTTTTTATTTTCGATTTCATTAATAAGAATTTTTGCTAATATCCACCCAATTGCTACTACAACAGCCATTGGGACAGTTTACCGTGTCATGCATGACGCATAACAAAACATAAGTATTTAACTAATGTCTAAAATTGGAACAGTGGAACTGGAAGTGCGAATTTTTATTACAGAATCGCCCTACAGGTTTCAAAAGTTTCCCCCATGATAAACCAAGCACAGACAACTAACGAGAAAGTATTCGAATCGCCATCTTCAAAGTTTCTGTGGAAGGAGCTAGTTTGTTCTTACGTCCGGTAGGGGCGCTGCCTAGTTCCATAGAAACTCTCATTGGCGATACGAATATGGAATCTGTCAAATGTCATGGTTGTGGTACTATGGTACTGATGAAACTAATTAGTTTCGTTTGCACAATTCCGCCGGGTCAGTTAGATGTGTAATAGTCATGCTAGCTCCGTCTTAGTAAAATCTTATTTTCTAAATCAACTAAATACTAGAAATTGCAAAATTGATTATTTGCTGAAATTGAAACGAATATACACATGTATTTCTTTAAAAAATAAAACATATAAGTTATTTAAAGATTATGCATACATATGTACATTAATAGTGCTTAATTCTCATGCTAAATCAGGAGCGAAACAGAAACTTTTTATTAGCCAGATGCTAGCTAAACAATGCAAATAAATTGTTTTATATGTACTTACGTGTAAGTAGTGTTTTTTTTATAATTTTAATTTTATCATTAAAATTTTTTCTTTACAGGTCGACTTTGGGTTTGCAAAACTTATAGCACCTAATAGCAAAACGTGGACGTTCGCGGGTACGCCTGAATATGTGGCTCCAGAAATTGTATTAAATAAGGTAAGTTATACAGATTTCGCCAATCTTCTAGTCCCCTCTGAATACTGCACAATTCTCCTTGTAATAACAAAAGACAGATATATACATGGATGGAGGTTGTTTTTAAGGACTGTCCACCTGCGCGAAGCAACTTTAGAGCGCACTCAAGATCCTTATTTTTTACTGCCGCAAATAACCCAAAGACATATTAAAGCCTAAAGCTACACCTACTCTTCGGTTGGTACAACACCAACATTTCTATATGGTGTGTCATAAATAACACACACAACATAACTTTAACATAAAAAAATCATGTTTTTAACCTAGAATAAGTACTGCCAATAAGTAAGTTAATTAATATAGAATTTAGAAAAACTACAGAGGTCCAAGCACGAGTAAAGTATCGTAATCGTCATATATTGTATGGTTTGTTCAGTTTGTCCTTATGACAGATAGGGGGCGCTTTTTAGTTTTCATAGAAATATAAACGATTACGATACTTTACGGTGCTGTCAAAACTCGTGCTTGCGCTTCAATTCCCTCCTTCTCATTCTGTAAATAGAATGACAAGGGTACACTGTTGTCAAATTTAGATTCATATAATCATTTACAAACTTTCTATGACTCACATGCACCAAAGTTCCCTAAAAGCTAATCATATTTTAACCTCATTCTATCCCCATTCCAATAATGTGCTAAACACGAGTCTTGAATTAAGAATGTGCTTGTGAAAAAAAAAACGAAACACTACCAAAAAGTATATATTTATCCTCATTCAACAGATTTCCCCTATTCATAAGTTATCTAATGTGTATAAACACAATTAATCACAATCAACTCATTGAATTCTTTAAATTCCTTTTTTTTTCTTTCTTTTCCTTTTTGTATGAAACCGAATGCAGCAGAATTGCTACGACCGAAATTCTGCGACTCACCACTCACAAAATTACGCTCGTTTGGCCTCACCCTTAGGTTACTTTATACTCAATGTTGGAGGATAAGTTTGTTTGTCTCGCTTAAATATTTATTACTTGAACAATTTATTACTTGAGCAAGACAGACAGACAAAAAAACTTGCCCAGTAGCCATTTTTATATGTGTAGTTGCTACTGTGCAGGCTTCCTTGTCTATGTTCTATGCTCAAGAAGTTTTCCGGGGTGTTTCCTACCTACTTCTTATTAATCATCTCAATTTTTCATGGAGAATAACTATTGTAGGGTCACGACCGAGCAGTTGACTGCTGGGCTCTTGGCGTGTTCATTCACGAGCTGATAGTGGGTAAACCGCCTTTCCGAGCGCCCGGAAACGACCACATGAAGACATACACACTGATCTTGCAAGGCATCGACGCTGTGGTGTTCCACCGGCGTGTATCCAACTCAGCCAAAATTCTAATCCGCAAGTTGTGCCGTGCGGTGCCCGCTGAGCGTCTCGGCTACCTCAAGAACGGAATGGGAGATGTCAAAGCCCAAAAGTAATTATTTACTTTAATTGTGTATTCTGATTTACTGGTAGGTATTAATGCGGTGCTTCTCAGGTCATTGACCCGTAGACACCTAATAATGTTTTATTTGTGTATAGGGTTATCATCCGTCCGGATAAGTCCGGTCATGTCCGGATTTTTTTGCTATAGTCCGGACTTTGTCCGGATCTCTAAATTGTCCGGAATTTTTGAAAAACATTGAATAAGATTTCAATACCATACCATTGTAACTAAGTGAGTAATGGTACCATTTTGTAACTAAAAAGTCCGGTAATTTTTCGAAATGCAAGGATTTTTGTCAGGTCTTTTGAAATTCCTAAATGGTTACCCTATTTGTGTAACACCTGCCAGGTACTTCCTATTCATGATGCGAGCGATGATGTTCAAAATCTTTGATTTATCTCATTACAATATCTGATCATTTTATTAATCTTACTTCTTTAAAGAAGCCCTTTGAGTGAAAGGAAAACAATACAAATTAAAGCGAGGAATGCAAGCCCTTTCAACAAAATTAATTTGTCTCTTTTTCCCCCATAGGGTTGTAACGTTTTTAACCCTTAAAGTCGCTATGCATTCAGAATAAAAAAATGCTAACGAAAAATTACAATACTTAGTGATTTCTTTTTTAACCGAAAGCAGTTACTGAACTGTCCTCTAAAAAAATAAAATAAAGAGCAACATAGTCTGTTAATATTTTGGCAGTTCGGTGTCATCTTTGCCACCATGCGGCACAATTGTAAAATCGTCTTGGTTAGAATATTTTTTTATATTTATTTACATTGATATTCACTGATATATGTTTTATAAAATCTAAAATATGAATGTCCTAAGCATTTACTTACACTAACATACTTCAATAATTCATTCATTTTCATATGTTTTACAAGCTTTGTTTTGGGTGTATAGTATATTATACATTGCGACCAATCGCCTATAACAACGTTGAGTTCTTGATGTATGGTATTCTATACACTGCCACTTAACCGTTTGCTTATGGTGTATTTTTTTTTTTACTGCAAATGGTTAAATTACTAATAATAGCCTGTATTAATATTAATTTATCAATTGTTTGTTTATTACTAGTTATGTTTGATTTTTGGCATATCATATTTATTCTTTTTGAATCCATCTTTTTGTTTCTCAGGCTATGGGTGTTAAGTTTATACGCATGCTTGTTACCAATTTTGTTCTAGTTTGGGCAACGCAATAGTTGTTGACGCACTAATGCCTAAGATCCATACTGATTCCGAAACTAGCAATTGATCAAGCTATGACAATGAAGTAAATAATTAGGTTTCAAACTTCTCTTCCACCGTGTATAGATTAATCCTTAGAAAGACTCAATATATTACCCAGCCCAGTTCCATCTGATAATTCTCATGAAGATTATTGAAAACTCTCCTTTGCATTCGTTACTTTAAAGATGCTACAGTAACCCACAATTTCCAAGCCTCATTCCCACCGCTCCAGAATCTGAAATACATAACCCACTCATGCCAATTTTACAAATATTATTTTCATCTAACACGCTATGCAATTATAATGACCTTCAATTTCATTCTTGCCCCGTTTGGAAACCATTTTTATTTCAAAATTTAGATATGGTATGCTAAAGATATTATAATCTTATATAAGGAACGTAACATAAGTGATCATATTACATTTTCTGCAATAAGTACTTTTGCATGTAATATCTGCATCTTTGATAGTTAGTGTGCCAAAGCAACAGTAACATCCGTTACTGTTTTACCGTTTACCGTTACCAGCAGCTGAAAGACCCCCTCAATGCCATCCGGCATTTCAGTTGCTGGTTTTTTACCAACACATGTCGCTATCTGCCTATTTCTTTCGATTTGAAACCTCATATAATTACCTACCTTATATTTGAATTTCTTGAGACCATCTCATCTTCTTCATGCAGGATTGCAAAAAAGGTCAAGCTAGCACTCATTGCACAAAATGTATTGTTCATAAATGTCACGTATCTATGAGGAATTGTTTTTAGCATACCTGCCATAAAACTTTATTTTTACTAAAAATGGTTTTTAAGCTCTTTTATTATATTGGTTTCTATTGGCACATACCTATATTACATTAGTTTTTTCACCAACGATATAAAACGTACCTACATACTAAAATATAACGTAAATTCATATTTATTTTAATTTATATTTGTAAATAAATGTAGTCCAAGTGTGATTTTCTTATATTATACTATACATCGTTAACTTTACACTTTTGTTAGTGTTGGTGGCAATGTATTGTATAATATACATAAAATATTTCCAAATCTAAAAAATCTAGTTTTGTTTTTTATTAATTTCCTAGTCTTTATTTTTCTTTTTCTTTACTATAATCGAAGTATATTATTATTTTTCTGTTTCCCGAACATTGCATAGCTTGCGACCTTAAGGGTTAAGATAGGTATGTTAGATCACTTTCACTCTAAATGATTGATGAAAGATTTTGTCACTTCGATCCTCACTTTGGCGGACTAAACCTAATACCTTTCCCAATGGAGTAAGACCCCTATACTCTTTCAGATAGCTTTATGACCTTTTCCTACAGACTTTTTTCTGTTGTGTGCTTGAGTGGATAACACGACACTAGGGAAATGAAACGACTACCAGACAGAAATCTTTTGGTGACCTAATTTAACCACCTATTCTTAATCCTTTAAGATAAGCTTAATAAGGAGATAAAGATTATCCTCGACATTTTATATTATCAGCATTTGAAGATAATCAGTGAGTTCGCAGGGAAGTACCTAGTATTATTGTTATAATAATAAAAGTCAAGTCAATATAGTCATAATAGGAATGATGACTAACTTTTTTCTTTCTTCACATAATCAAAATATTACGTGAATATTAAATATTAAAAATGACCGCTCCGTGCTCCCCCTTATCGCAGCGCAGGCTGTTAGTAGAACAGTGACCAATTTGATAATTCTCTTTTAATGCTTACTGTCACATTCTCCGAAATTCTTAATTAAAATTAAGGCTTAATCCAGTTCAACACATCATTCCATTTTTATCAAATTGTTTAAAGTCTGATTAAAAACTTAGGTGCAAGTGGGCCTTGTAGTACTCTAAGGCCCGTATTATATAAAGATTCTCAGTGATTGATCTAGCCTTGAGCATAGTTAGAAAGGGATGTCGCTATATATAGCACATAGCGACATCCCTTTCTAACTGTACTCGAGTAAAGATCAACACTTAATAGTTGTGATTCTGTAATACGGACCTAAATATCTCTTTGATATTTCAACAATTATCTACCGTTTTTTAAACATATGAGCAATGATTTTAAGAGATAGTTGGGTATGTTAAGGCAAAAAAATCATATGGCTCGCCTGATGGTAAGCGGCCATCATAGCCTATAGACGCTTGTGATACAAAAAATATCACTCGCACCGTTGCCTACCTTGACCCCCTCCCCTACCCCGGGGACCTTTCTCACCGACAGATACACAACACCAAAAATAGGTAGTGTTATTTTAATGTGATCTTCTGTAAGGAGGGGGATTTACGTATTCTTTAGGAATAAATTCTTACTAATATTAATTCTAATGAATATAAATACTAATTTGTTAATATAAATAAATAATATAAATACTAATATTAATTTTAATGAATATAAATCATCATCATCATTATCAACCCATGTTTGTCCACTGCTGGACATAGGTCTCCCCTAAAGCACGCCACTGCCACGGTAATATTATTTATTACCGTGCCACTGCTCCCGATTTTGTGCTACTCTCATCCAGCCCACTCCAGCCAGCCTACGAATATCATTATCCCATCTTGTCTCAGGGCGTCCTACACTATGTTGAATATAAATACTAATGAATAAAAATACTAATTTGTTTTTGTAAAGTACGATAATATATTCGTTCCTCGTCTAACAAATCATCCAATAATTAGTTTTTTGTTAATTATATATTAAGGTCTATGGAAATATTTATAATATTCCCATTTATGTGTCTCAAGCTGTGGCATCCACCTATTGTGAAAAACCCTGATCCTTGCGTGGGCATGGCATTCAAACTAAGCCTGTATGTTCGACTTTATTCTAGGTGGTTCCTAGGTTTCGACTGGGAGGGTTTACGGGAGAGGAAGCTGAAACCACCTCTCACACAGCCGGTGGCTAATGACTGGGACTTGTCCAACTTCGAAAAGTATCCTAAGGACAAACTACCGCCCGATGAAACTTCAGGATGGGACTTTGATTTCTGATCCACCTTTTGCCGCAATCATCTAAAAATATTGGGAATAGATTTTATGCCCGTTTGCACCGTCATACTCTTAAGCTAGGTACTCCTAGAAGAGATGCCAAAACCTAAGCAAGCAACAACTAAAGAAAATTTAGGTTTGCACCAACTTAAAAATCGTTAGATGTTCTTAACTTTGAATACTCACAATAAGTGAATGGACAGAAAATGAATCGTACAGCTAGTAAAAAAATTGTCTTTGTCATAATTTATTAATGAAAGGCAACTTTCTAATAATACGCAAAAATAAAGATTTTTTTTTGAGAAAATATAAGACGTTCTGTAAAATCCGAAAACTATGACTTGCCAAGTTTATCGTCTTATGTTTTGGTGCAAACTAAATTGACACTTAGGAGTCACCTAAATACTTAAAAAACTTAAGTTTGGTGCAAACGGCCATGAGTCTCATTATTTTGTGATAGATTTAAAATGTTAGCCTAATGTTGTCCTCGCATTACCTAATTCATAATACATAGGTACTTAATTAAGTCCAAGATATGTACATGTTTAATGTTCTGAGAACTTATATTTGGTTATTGTTATTCGTTCAGTAATTTATTATACCTGAATTTGACTACTTACTTAAGTAAATACGTAGTTAAATACCTACTGTAACTACAATCTCGCTTTTTTATCAAAAATTATTTCAATGCAAAACTTTTAAGTAAACTTTAATTAGAGTTGCTAGAAAGGATACGGTCATATACAGAAACGTTCATTAACATTTAAGTTGTGTTAACCTTGATGCTTTATTTGATATTTACATGATTTGCAAATGGCAATAAATAGTCGTGAAATAAATTTTAATTTAAATACGATTTTGACAAAATAACTAAGTAAATACGGTCATGGTAAATGATAAATCTTTCGGTTGTTCATTATTTTGTGTCAATAAAATTATGTCAATAACAGCTAATTGCGACCGACAGATAACACAAATTGATACAATGTCGGTAAATTGGTTATCTGCGATCACAGTGCATGACACCTGTAAATAGATTGATATATAACAGATGTAAGTGTCTACGCATAAGTCTATAATTTATTTTTTTATGTAAATACCTACATATAATCTATGCACTCTGCATTTTGATTTACCTGAGAAACTTTACTAGCTAATTCAGAAAATGTTTTTTTTTTATATTTTTTTTCATAAAATTTAAGCTTTAATAAACATGTTAATCACTAATTGAGCTATTATGAAACCTTAACAACTTTAATTGTCTTAAATTGATTCAAGTAACACTATACTTTTAGGATCTACGTATGTACTTAAAAATAACTAATTCTATGTTTTTTATAAAAAGGTACTAAAAAGTGTAGTCTGTGTTTTCGATAGGAATTGTGCTTTTTCCAAAATAAGTAGGTAGAGCAAGCGCACATTGAGCTATTAAACGCGACCACTAGTGGCCAGTCAAGCTACTAGACTCAGCCACCAATCGAGCTGAATCTGAGCCACCAGTGGTCGCGTTTTGTGGCCGCGATTAGTGGCTGAGTGTGCGCTTGCTCTTCTTACAGGGATAATAATTCTTATGTTATTTGCAAATTTGGGCTGTTATATTTTGTATTGTTTACTGTTATGTTATGACCTTTCCTATTATTTTTGTTTAGACGATTTTTAAGTTTCTCTGGTAACTCAAAATTCATGGTGTTTCATATAAAAAGTGTGATATTTGAGGCCCTTTTTAAAATAGCCGATTATTGTATTAACTGGATATATGGATATTTTATTCTAATTAGAATTTCCAACTCTAATTGAGATTATATTAAAGCTATAAATTTTTTCAATAAACCTGTTCATTTGGGGTCCTCTCGATTTTTCTTTCTAGCTATAGTACCTACTTAATCATTTCTTTTTGTATATTCGATTTTGTATATTGAATGTTTTGTCTAATTATTACATTTCAAGCGTTACCACTGACCACTGATATTTTACCAGCATAAATCATATCTATAGTCATACGTTTGAAGCAAATATTTACACGATAAAGCCCGTTTCACATGATTTATAAATAAATACCTATTAGAGCATAAGAATGAAGGGTTTCGAATCATTATCTATACTACATTAGACACTTTATTAGGTATAATATCGAGCAATAAACGGCAAAAATTGCATGGAAGTCTTCAGAAATATGTATTTATTTTTAAAGTGAATATGTCAATTTAATATTCTGTGATTATTTCAAGCGTCTACCAGTAGCCGTTATTAAAATCGAACAAAGAAAGGCAAAAAAAATTGTGTGTCAGCTCCGACGCACGACTGGTGTTTACTCCTTAAGTTCGATAGTCTAACCAGACGCAAAAAGAGTTTATTTAACTTAAAAAAGATTGATACTGTATGAAAGGGTAAATTAACAAATTAATGAAAATAATATACATATATAAATAAATAAATATATATTTATTCATTTCATATACATTTATTATATAACTAATCGACGAAATATTTTACATTAAACTTTTTACAATAGTCAATTTCAGGTGTGTATAAATATATCATTAGGAATGTTGATAAATTATGTAATTAATATTATCAGAATATTATCATTTTTTTAAATATTAATTAAATCAACATTGTCTGCATTATTAATTACAGTGACAAGTGGTTTATGGTAACTAAAGTAAGACGCATGGACGTTCGTAGATACGTGGTTCACGAATCTTGAAAATACCGTATCAATGGTTGTACCATACCTCGTTGTCCCCATTGCTCTATCAGAAACAATATCTAAATTCAGTTCAGATTTAAAAAAAAATATTAATGTCAATCAGTCATCTTTGTTTGTCAAAGTTACGCGACATAGGAATGCGCACCAAAAAAGTAACGAGGTCATTCATCGATAGATTTTACTCCTCACTTTTTTCTCATACCGGGCCCCTTATAGAGTAAACTCCAAAAATACATTTGTTGTATTTGAGCCCTGCTTAAATATTTATTTTATTCTGTTTTTAGTGTATTTTGTTATAGCAGCAGACAGAAGTACATCATCTGTGAAAAGGTTTTCTGGAATGACGGGCACTAGGTGGCAGTACTGAGGCAAAATATCTACTCATCCGTCAAATCGCATATGTTCTCATAGTCTATGGATCTAGTCTATAGAGTTCGCGCCAAAAACTTCATACAAAAGACCTCACGTCACAGTGGCGCCTACTGGTGACGTAAAGTTTCATAAACACCCTCATTGTCAAGCTATCACGGTTTATGAGACACAGCCTGGTGAGATTCAGACAGTAAGACGGACAGTGGAGTCTAAGTAATCATCATCATCAGCCTATTAATGTCCACTGCTAGGGTACAGGCCGTCCCTATGGATGGAATAGGGAGATTGGGCCATAACCCACCACGCGGGCCCAGTGCGCATTGGTGGGTGCTAATGACTGCAGAGGCAGCCAGGACGAACTGCTTAACGTGCCTTCCGAAGCACGGAGGAGCTCAAATTAGTAAATTTTTGGTCACCCATCCAAGACCGACCACTGCGAAAGTTACTTAACTTCAACGATCGCAACCGAACGCGCTAACCTCCTACGCCATCAAGCTCCCGTGTCGATTCTTAGTAATAGGGTCCTGTTATTATACCCTTTGTGCACGGAACCCTCAATGTACGAAGTCCGACACTTACTGCAGTGCCATTCTGTTAGAGTAAAAATCCCAAGACCGCCAGACCTTAATTATTTTCTGATGGACAAAATATGGATAATCAAATAGTATTAGTGTGTACAATGATACATACATACTTGCTAACTAGTGCTGTGCATACATACTTGCTAACAATTTTCAGGTATCAGGTGGCACAGGCACGTAAAATTGTTACTCACTTTACTTACAGTCTGAGAATTGATTCTCATGTAGGGGGAATTTAAATTACCTACAACGTGGCCATTGAATTTAATTCGATAGGAGTTGTGCTTTTCCCTAAATTCGCGATAAACCGTTTTCCTCATTTGAAAGGTGACGACGCTTTTGCATTTCCTTAGAATATTTTCCATAGTAATGTATATTTTTTGCATTTTTTTTATCAAAAAGTACACGAACTTATTTTAAAACTACTTTTTTTAACGGGAGATTTTCAATTAAAAACAGGGTTCCTTTTTCGATAACATCAAAATAAGGAGTTAAAAATAAATACTTTCTATCAAAAAAGTGAGAGCGTGTTTGGGACATAAAAAGGTAAGTTTTCACCAATTTGTTTTTTTTTTGTGGAACATAATAATAAGGCCAAAGACCATCCTGCTCTTGCACTTACTGAGCCAACTCAAAACGGTTTACGCGGGTTGAAGGACTTGCGGTTGCAAATAGTCGACTCGTCGTACTTCCAAGGGCGGATCCAGACGGGGGGTCATGGGGGTCATGACCCCCCCCCCCCTGGGCTGGGTCCATCTGTACCCGCTTCATAATCTGTACTTCACAATCTGTACCCACTTCAACTTGACCACGACTATATGACCCCCCCCCCTGGCGCCAAAGCTGGATCCGCCCTTGCGTACTTCGTTGTGATTGTACGCTCCCTGTCACTTGATTGATTTTTATCTCACACACTTTGGACATTGGAACACGATTATCGGTTTTGTCAATTAGTATGAATGAACTAGAATCATCTTTTCTCCGAAGCGAGGACAAGTTTGTGTGATTTGTGGTTGCTCCGTTTTACATAGAAAACAATTTACTATAACGAACAAAATATTTGAAAAAAACCACAACCCATGCGGGGATTTTTGGATTTACTCTAGCGCGACAAAATAAGATAAGGGGGCACCCTTGCACCTTGTAAAGTACTCCCATAATAATTGAGCCTTCTATGTATGGTCGAACTATTAATTAACTAAAGACCCCCGGGATGGAATTTGATGTATTTTGGCACAGATGATCATGACTATAATACTTTTCAAACAAATGTAGTTTAAGCCGTGGCGGACGTGGGTATTGCGTCCATACATTTTTGCCCAATGTCCTTTTCAAAGGCACCGAGGTGAAAATTGAGTAGAGACACAACATATTTATGTTCCGTAATCATAATTTTATACTTTATCATTTGTTTGATGCACTTATTTTTATCCAATTTTTATTATTTTACTTACAGTAAAAACTAAAAATTGAGTTAGTCTAAAGTTATTTACGTAAGTGTTGTTGATGTATCCAGAGACCTAGATTGTATGTCTATGTTTGTATTAGTACATTACGATACCCGTGACCTAAGTTGCCTATTACTGCACGCCGTGCAGTAATAGACAACTTAGGCCACAAGTATCGTATACTATTTTATAGCAAGTGTGACATAAACCCGCCCCGGACGCGGGCAAGAGAGGGGGTTCGGGGGGGCCGGAGGCCCCCCCAGGGATGCGATTAGTGTTTTGAAAGTAAAATTCATGTATTGCAATCACAAAGAATTGCAATACAGACTGCAAGTCAAACTCTGAAAAGAAATAATTCCGGTTCAGATTACCATTTTGAAAGTATATTTCAAAAGGAAAAAATCAAATATCAATACAACAAAATAGAATTTCAATGTATCCATGAACGTTTATTCCTTGATTGTCATAACAATATATTAAACAACGGGAATGAGCTTTATTTTTTGTACTCGTTTAATTCAAACCTTTTATTTTTTCTACATGAGTGAAGTTGGTCAATTCATTTACACACCGTGCAGAAATAGGCAACTTAGGTCACCGAAAAGCGTGCGTAAAGTGCGGGTTTAGGTCACACTGTGCTATAAAAATATTTTTGCCATGCATATTTTACAACAATCTATTATTGTGGTGATAAACATTATTCGCACTTAAAAATTGCAGATTTTAAGCGTAAAATAAAACAACACTTATATATAATTTACTGAAAAACTGTTTAGTCGTTTCTCTATACCTAAATAGCTAAGTATGTATTTCAATCCTACGTGTCTTATTTTAACGGAGTTTTATTTCAATATGTAGTTAAAATATAGGTTTCCCGCTCGAATTGTAGCGCCCGTCTGTAAAAGTAGTAGTCTCTTGCCAATAAGCAAGCGATATGGTTGTTTACCACTCTTAAATATACAAATAAAGAAACAGCAAAAAAGATCAACAACCATGTATACCTTGAAACGAAAAAGATACAGTTTGTCTCCTCAACCACATTTGGCAATATATAGGGCATTTGTTTTGCTTATATTTTAAGTATCTAAATACTTTTAAGGGTGAAACTAACTAGAAAGCCTGCCACAGGTTTGTAATAGTTTAATTAACATGAACTTGAAATGCGGAAAATACGTGAGAGCGTATCGGTACGATACACTGCGCGGAATGGAGGTCAGCAGGGGAACCAACCTGCGCGCGCGTCGCTGCCCTTCATTACAAACAGGCCTGGCCATCTACATTAGAAACAATTTCTGTTAAAATTGGTTTTATTTAGTTTCTTAACCAGTATTTGTTAACATTATTATACCATCGAAATAAAATCAGTTCAGTGATTTCATTCACACATAACTCTATTAGTTATTTGAAAATATCCTAATGATTTCACTGATAATAAGTTAATAAATACGTACATGTTTATTGTTGGATAATGTTGTAAAATTTATAAACCTAAAGTTAGATTATAGGTCTGAACTTTGTCATTTACGAAAAAATACAATCGGCCTAATATGCGAATAGAATTAATTATTTTTGAGAACTATTGTTTAACTTTCTTATGAAATTGGGGCAGAGCAGAAGAGAGTGAATCAAAAACAAATCATTTAGAATGAAGGATATGACGGTAGTCGTTTTAGCTATCTATATATTCGTACAATGGTCGAAGATCTGTTAGTAAAAAGTAAAGTAAATATACAATTGTTTTAAGCACATGACTAATGCACTTCAAATTAAATTAAACGGATCGAGATTTTGGCTATCTTAGAGATAGCATTAGAAAGCGAAAACAACCTCACCGAACATCACGGTCAAATAGGAGTTTCGGATTAATTTGCTCTTGCTCCTGGTCTTGATTGGGAGCATCATGCTTGAAAGTGCTCTGGAGTACAACAACCTGTTTTAATACTTTCAATGAACTAAATTGAAGTGCTGATGCCGCGTCGCGCCCGACAGCCGTTCATAATCACCGCACTATGCGTAGCAGCCGTCTGACAGCTCGCCAGAGCCAGCCAGAACAGTCAGTAGCATAAACTTACCGAGGCAAACACCACGCGCGCATCCGAATATACCCAAACACGATGCTCATCGCCCGTATATCCCCAAACGAAAACTGAATATTTTACCAAACAGTGGCATTTATCGCACAATGATCTGTTTGTGAAGTGAAAATTTATGTAGTTACGTGAGTTGCATCAAGATTGATTGGATTGTAAAAACTATCGTAAAACTACGGCGATACATACTTTCGGTAAGTTTTATACCAACTGTGACCGGTGACATGTGAAGTGTGTTTACAAAATAAAAATCAGTCGGAGATGTTTGTGTCGTCATAGCTTAGCTGTGGAAATTCGTAACAGTTACTAAGAATGATTCTAAAATTAGCTGCAACATTGAATTTGAAATAGGATGAATAATAGACGTTTGATAGTTCAAGGAAGACGTTAATAAAATTAAAGGTGGCTTTATTGCATTAAATATGCGGTGTTATCAATTAAGTTGTATTTAGACAATGTATATGTACCTGATTATACACATACGAGTACCTCTAAGTTATCAACGTGTCTTTGAATTATTATGAATTATTAATTTTATCGAACGTTATTTATAAACAACAAATATTAGTTCATGATATTAAGAATTTTCCTGCCATGATCCATGATGATACCCAAAAAATCGTTGCTATACGATTTGTTTTCAGCATCACGTAGTAATGTCATAGTAGTTTTCCGTTAATAATGAACATTAGGATATTTAACCGCTGGTTAGGAACTCAATTGAAACACTGAGAAAAGTAAATTAAATATTGCTGTATATTAGTTAGAGATCATACAATGGAAGATTATGGACCAAGGGAACAGTGTTTTATGTCAAAGTCCCCGTTCAAAAAAAAATAGTACAGCCTTTAATCACTGTTTTAAGTAAATTGTTGATTTAAAAACAATATCTGTGTTTTATGGGTACCCATCATTGTAGTTTTCTTTTTTTTTATATTTTGTTCTGTAATCATATTACTGTAAATATTTATTTGTTTTAAGACTTGTAGTTTTAGAAATGGGCACGACAGGGGACTGTAAATTGGGGTGTTTGAATTGAATTAAAGTTACTTATTATTATTTTATGATTATCTATGGCATGTCAAGAATAGTTTATATACCTACTATCGTTATTAAACATTGATGTTAGCAATAACGTAATTTATATTTAAAAAAATGCTTGGGACAGTGATTTTCCAATTAAATTTGGAAAAGTATTTTTTATATTAAGTTTGTTTGTAGGAAATAATCTCTGGAACTAGTAAACCGAATTTGAAAATTCTTTTACGTGCAGAAAGCTAAATTTTTCTTGATTAACATATACCTAGGTATTTTCGATCCATGCAAGGCCGGAGTGTCCGTCCGTCTGTTAACTGTTTAGATACAACATGTATCTCATGAACCGAAAATTAAAAGGGTCTGTATACAAGAAATGATTTTTTTTCGGACTTTTACTTTAAAAAGTTGGTTTTTACAGTAAAAAAAGGTGTAGTATACCCTTATACCAATCCAACTTGCATTTGCAAATTGTGTCAAATTTTCTTTCACCGAAAGCAAAACTCTTAATTTTTTGTGTAGATTATTATAACTCTTGGTATCAACTTTGATTAGTTTTATTAATCGATTTTATATAATATTTTCTGCAGCTTTATAAAGATCTTCAGTCCGATATATGTACTTTTACTAGCTACATATGCACTAGTAAATAATGCGCAGCACATTATTCAATCATTTTGTATAGTACTTAAGTATGCCTTTAAAACATATCTATCATTGTATAGTTAAATGGGAACTAAAAGATGTCACGTTATTAATCGTCACATTGTTCTAAGCATTACAATACCGTTCTGAAAACAAGACGTATTGTTAGTAAGTACGTGTGTCTGTCTGGCACAGGCACATAAATAATGTGGTAATGTGTATTGCAGTCAGTTGATACCTATTATCGAAATATAGTATCAAAGCTTATTATAAACTAGCGGCGGCATGCAACTTCGTCTGCGTTAACTTTAGTTTTTTTAAGAATCCCACAGAAACGTAACATTTTTCCGGTCTAAAAAGTATCTATAAGTCTCAATCTAGGACATTACCTATATGGGCACCTTTCATCTAAATCCATTTAATAGATTTTGTGTGATTGAGTAATAAACATACAAACTTTCACATTTCTAATATAAGTAGGATTATAAGGTTAATTATGTCTTTTTAAGTACTTAAATAAAAATTCCTGCTCCGAAAACCTAAGTACTTACCTATCTAATTTCCCCTGTAAACAACAGATAGAAAAAATCATTAATAACTGTCTTCGTTAATAGGGATGACGTGATTACGGGGTAAAGTAAACGAAAATCTATTAAAGTGAATTAAAGTTAAAGTTAAAGGCCCGTCGCGGTCGCATCTGTTAGAATATCGAAAAATAAAATACACTTTTTATTTCTTTTGTCAATCAACCAAAAAATAAGAAACATAAAGCGCCTCAAAATTTGGGAGCGGCAGCTCGTGACGTCACTCCTAAGTAAAAAATGTACCAAGACGTGACGTCATGCGATATTTCAATCGATCTATCTCTGCAATGTTTTGATTAGATGAAAAATTACGTGTCTTTTTTTGATATTTTACCTGACAAACAAAGAAATAAAGTAAAGTCATCATCCCTATTGTCTAGTTAAAAAATGAAAAAGGTTTATCGGGATTTTCGGCAACTACTTTTATCTAAAAAAAAATAAAGGCCAAATTGTAGGTAGTTGGGAGATCTACAAATATTTAAAACACTCCGTTGACATAGGTAACCTTAAAATATCTGAGAAAAATCTAAATAACTAAACTTTTTAATTACTTTCTCCCACAAAAGAACTTTCGAACTTTGGTGCAAACTTACAAAAGCACAATTTTTTTGAAAAAGAGTATTTATTTTTATTTTGGTATTTTATCGAAAAGTAAGTAGCCTTTTTTCAATCGATAAATCTGCGGTCAAAAAATATGCTTTTAAAAAAAGTTGGTATGCTTTTCTTTCTTCAGAATCTACTTTCTGATAGTACTTATACAAAAAATATACATTACTATGGAAAATTATCTTAGAAAATGGTAATGTGTCGTCACGATTTTCGACCTTTTAAAGAGGGAATTTTAAATTTAAATTTTAACTTATTTATTTTATTTTATTTTATTTTAATATTAATGAACAAAATGCAACGACGGAAGGTCCAGAGTTGGAATCTTGTCTGACGCATAGACCAAAGGGATCTTTTCAAGTAAAATTTTCTTTAGATTTTAGTGTAACAGTTTAAGAGCGGACTCGAGCTGAGAGATATTTGGCAACAGTAGCTAATGTTAAAAATTGCGTATAAAAATTGCAGAATTCAAGGTTTGGCTCTCGACGATTTCCTCTTCGAAAATTAGATATAATATGTCAAATATTTTTTTCCCATAGAATTAATAAGAAGTTATAATAAACCTTTATGTTTTGCTCTTTTCTGGAAAACCTTATTGAATCTCCACAATAGACGTCTTTAGTGTTCATTAAAATTTGTTTATTTTGGCGGCTTCTAGTTTCTGTGAAACACAAGTTATGGAAAAAGGTAAACATAGGAGCATAACTTAAGGAAAAATATATTTTATGTATGAAAATCCTTTCTGTAGTGACAAAAATCAAGGAGGTATCGTTCGAAAACGTTTGTATGGATAAAAATATTGCCCGCCTCTCTAAATAAATACTAAATTTAACAGTCAAACTTAAATTAACTTCAGCAAGTGAATGAATCACCTAATAGTACAAACAACTCTGTTGTACAACAGATCACAACAGAACAGAGAACCTATTTGGCTTCGCTGAAAAAAGTTTTCAGTTACTTATAACAAAAATAAATGTTACCTATTACATAAAAATAGTGACTCCATAGCTATAGTTACTAGTAGATAAACTCGGTTTTGTTAAAACAGTTTTGTTGTTCTAACAAAACAGTTATGCAAAAACACTTACGTAAAATTTACATAACTGTTTTGTTAATTCTTACACTTGTCCAGTAATTGGTTACAAAATTATTGATTCAGTATAGCTCCATTATACTGATATTTGTAACCGAACTATTTTGTTATCATAAATTTCTAATAAATTATAGCTATTTATCTTTCTGTCTCACTTGCACAAGGTACTTTTCTGCTTTAAAAACCTTTTTAAAAATATATTTTAAAAATATGAATTCAGCGGATGTGCTGAACATTTAACAAAACAAGTGCTTGCTATTTGTAGCCGAACTTTTTGGCTAACAGTTACAACACTTTTCAGTTATTCATATAGCGCTTTTTGTGATTGCTAATAAGTAGCACAAAATAGTTATAGTTAGGCCAACTCTATGTAAATAATCACTTCAAGTGTGTTTGATTATAACAATACTCGTACATTGTTATGTTACAGATTATCGTAATCGAATTTGACCGCTTATAACAAAATAGTTTAGTAGTTTTTAACTAAACCCGATTAACTAAAATGATAATGTAAAATGCAACCGAACAGTTGGTTTATGAGTGACTGAAATTTATTTATTAGTAAATAAAGTTTGGCTATTCATCGGTTAATCAACTAGTTTTGTAAATTCCCTTTTTCAGTGTTGACGCAACAAAACCAACAGCACTTTTTTCTTCTACTTACTTGCTGTTTCATTGTTTATCGGAATGATATGATACGAAGAGGCATAGTTTCGATTTTCTATTATAATAAATAAAATATTCAAGGAAACTCTACTACATCATATTAGTCTACTTTGGTTTTTTTAGGGGGGCAAAGCAAGTTCTGAGGTCAAATTTCTGAAAACTAAAGCGTTAAAAAGGAAACAGTTACCATTTCATTAAATTAACTTTTTGGCATTGAGATGTTGAGAAGCTTAGGTACTTCAAATAAAAAACCGGTTGTTTGTAAGTATACATCAGAGAAGTTAAGGCACAGCGAATTTCCCGCTCGAATGGAACTCATCGGTTGCCTGGAAAAATTTATCTCCCATAACAGAATAATCTAGCAAAATAGCATTATTCTAAAGTGTGTAGTTTCATTCATGCCGTAAACAAGGTTGCAGATCTCCACGGGGTAGGGAAATGGAATACTTAAGTGCGATAAGGGAAATGGAAAACAAATAATTATATTTTCGACACCCGAGCACTTTTATTATAAATAACAAATAAATAAATATTTCCACCAGTTTATTTATATAGAAATACATAT